CGCCCTGCTCTGTTCGTGACAGGTGAAGGCGCCCCAACCCCCTGATCGGCCCTGCTCTGTGTGTGACGGGGCGGTGTGCCAACTCCCCTATTGGCCCTACTCTGTGACAGGGGGGAGCTCCTCAACCCCGATGGGCCCTGCTCTGTGCGTGACGGAGGGGGAGCTCCCCAACACCCTGATCGGCCCTGCTCTTTGCGTGACGGGGCAGCGCCCCAACCCCGATTGGCCCTGCTCTGTGCGTGACGGGGTGGCGCCACAACCTCCCCATCGACTCTGCCTTGAGTGTGACAGGGGGCGGTGCCCCAACGCCCCAATCGGCCCTGCTCTGAGCCCAACCAGGGGCTGCACCTAGGTATTGGGCCTGCCCTCTGCCACCCGGGAGCAGGCCTAAGCCAGCAGGTCGTTATCTCCCAAGGGGTCCCAGACTGCGAGAGGGCACAGGCCGGGCTGAGGGACCCCCCCCACCCCCCGAGTGCACAAATTTTTGTGCACCGGGCCTCTAGTATGGGGCTAATATCCTAAATACGTAAAGAACTCAACAACAAAAAACCAACTATGGCTCGGTTGGAGTGTCCAATTAAAAAATGGGCAGAGGCCGAAACTGCTTTGGCTCAGTGAATAGAGTGTCGGCCTGTGGACTGAAAGGTCCTAGGTTCGATTCCGGTCAAGGGCATGTACCTGGGTTGCGGGCACATCCCCAGTGGGGAGTGTGCAGGAGGCAGCTGGTCGATGTTTCTCTCTCATCGATGTTTCTGGCTCTCTATCTCTCTCCTTTCCTCTCTGTAAAAACTCAATAAAATATATTTAAAAAAAAAAATGAGCAGAGGATTTGAATTAGACATTTTCCCTATAATGATATAAGGATATGAAAAGAAGCTTATCATTAAAAGAGAAATACAAATAAAAATCACTGAGATACTACCTCACACTTGTTAGAATGGCTGTTATCAATAAGACCAACAATAAGTACTGGAGAGGATTTAAGGAAAAGGGAATCCTTATACACTGCTGGTAGGAATGTAAATTGGTGCAGTCACTATAGAAAACAGTATGGAGTTTCCTCAAAAATTGAAAATATAAGCTACTGCCCTGGCAGTGTGACTCGGTTGGGCATCATCCAGTGCACCGAAAGTTTGCCAATTTGATTCCTAGTAAGGGTGCTTGTCTGGATTGTCCGGGTTGTGGGCTAGATCCCTGGTAGGGGGTGTGCAGGAAGCAGCTAAGCAATGTTTCACTCTCACATGGATGTTTCTCCCTCTCTAAAAATCAATTTGAAAAATCTTTTAAGTGTGTGTGTGTGTGTATATGTATACACATACATACATATTCATACACTACTTTATGACCCAGTAATCCCTCTTCCTGGTTATCTACCCACAAAAATTGAAAACACTTATTTATAAAGATATATGTACACCTATGTTCATTGCAGCAATATTCACAATAGCCAAAACATGGAAACAACCTGTGTCTGACAGATGATTGAATAAAGATGTGGTACCATATATATACAATGGAATACTACTCAGCTATAAAAAAGGTAAAATATTGCCAATTGGGCCAATATGGATGGATCTTCAGAGTATCATGCTAAGTGAAAAGAAGTCAGAAAAGGACAATTGTATGATTTCACTCATGTGGGATATTAAAAATATCAGATTGAACAGAATGGCAGAGGGGTGGAGGGAGGAAGATGAGGGTAAGCAGGATCAAATAGTGATGGAAAGAGACTTAACTTGGGATGGTGAGCACACAATCGAGTAGTCAGATGTCATAACGTTATACACCTGAAACAATGTTATTAACCAACTTTACCCCAATCAAAAAACAACAAAAAGACACCTAATCAGTATGAAAGAGTCTTATGCTAAAATTTCCAAGTAAAAGCTACAAATAACAAATCTTGCCAAATTTAAATCAACAAAACTTGACCTAAAAAATAAATACAGCCGAAACCGGTTTGGCTCAGTGGATAGAGCGTCGGCCTGCGGACTGAAGGGTCCCGGGTTCGATTCCGGTCAAGGGCATGTACCTGGGTTGCAGGCATATCCCCAGTGGGAGATGTGCAGGAGGCAGCTGATCGATGTTTCTCTCTCATCGATGTTTCTAACTCTCTATCTCTCTCCCTTCCTCTCTGTAAAAAATCAATAAAATATATTTAAAAAAAAAAATAAATACAATAGTACTGTAAAATGTCACAGGATAAAATCTAATAACTGATTGGAATATTTGTCACGTTTTCAAGGAAAAGAATTCCTAATGAAAATAATTTCTGTAGGATAAAACTAAAAGTAGTTTATTAATTCTCTATAGAAAATGGATTCAGGAATTAAACTGGCTTAATGGGCCCTGACCAGTGATGCTTAATTGGTTGGAGTGTCGTTGGGGCACTTACCCAGGTTGCGGGTCCAATCCCTTGTAGGAATGCATACGGGAGGTAATCAATGTTTCTCTCCCTCTCCCTCCCTCCCTCTAAAATCAGTATCCTTGGGTGATTAAAAATAAAAATTGGCTTAATGGAATTCAGAAAATTCCTTCATCAAAAACATGTTACTGTTGCAATTTTTTTTTTTTAATCCTCACCTGAGGACATGTTTAGAGAGAGGAAGGGAGGGAGGAGGGAGGGCAGAAAAGAGGGAGGGGGGAGAGGGGGGGCATCTGTGTGAGAAACATTGATTAGTTGCTTTTTAAAAAAAATATGTATTTAGTGATTTCAGAGAGGAAGGGAGAAGGAGAGAGAGAAACATCAATGAGAGAGAATCATTGATCAGCTGCCTCCTGCACGCCCCCCACTGGGGATCAAGCCCGCAACCCAGGCATATGCCCTTGGCCGTAATCGAACCTGGGACCCTTCAATCCGCAGGCTGGCACTCTATCCACTCAGCCAAGCCAGCCAGGGCTGATTAGTTGCTTTCTGTATATGCCCCGAATGGGGCTCGAACCTGAAACCCAGGTATGTGAACTGACAAATTTGAGTAGTCAACTTTCTGTTATACAGGATGACACAACCAACTGAGCCACTCTGGCTGGGCTGTTGGAATTTTTGTAAGGTCAAAATATTCCTACTCAAGGGATCACAAAACTACTGTTTGGAATTTCTGATGGAGGATCTGAAAGTTGGGTCTCCTTCCCCACTCTCCCCTAAAATGCCAACTGCTTTTCTAGTGGGAAGGAAATCCTACATGAACTTGTAGGCCCTGTCATGGGGCCTGGCCACTCTCCATGTGGGTCCCCCAGTGTGTCCATCCATGGGCTTAGTACAAGGCGCATTTGGGTGCAATGAGCCCAGCCAGACTTCTTCCCATTCCTCCCATTGGTGCCTCTCTCTTGTGGCCAGCTCCTCCCAGTGGCCCTACTACATGTTCTACGTCCAGCATGAGTTTATAAAAGCTTGTAGCAGAAATTCAAAAATACAACAGAAACCACAGGCTTGCTTACGATTATTTCAGGCTCAACTTCTTTTCCTCTGGTTTGAGTGAGAGGATTATTCATCTTAAAGAGGTCATCTGCTTGGTTGAGTTGGGTCCTTCTTTTCCTCCCTTTCGTTCACTGCTTCTGTGTCTCCTGGAATGTACAGAAATGTTACCATACATGGGAAAGAGAATGTGTCCTGGAGCCTGACACACAGTGCTCTTTCCTATATATAGGAGGTCAGTTTTACGCCGTGCCACCCCCTTCTCGCAGCTCCCGCCTGCCCTGAGATGCATGTGCGCAGCATTGCTCCCCAACGCCCCCCAAATACACTACCACACATGGCTGGTGTTTCAAGCATTCCATGTTCCTCTGTAACGCTGACACTGGAGGGGACGTGAGATTCTGGACGTTTCCTCTGGTATATTCAGCTTGCAGTGTGCAGGGAGCTTCTCTTCCAGATAGAAAGTGGGACCTGGACCAAGGAGTCTGAGAATAGTCAGCACCCACAGTGCACCTGTGCCTGCCCAGCAGACTAAGCATCACCCAGAGCAATGTTCCCTGACAGTATGCCGGCAGCCTGGGCAGCTCTTAGGGCATTAACAAGGTGGTGCTCTCAGGAACTCAGCACCTGCCTGGTTCAGTCAGAGGACTCTAGAAAACTGACAGTTGGCCCGGTCAGTGTCGCTCAGTGATTGAGCATTACCCCATGTATCAAGAGGTCACTGGTTCAACTCCTGGTCAGGGCATGTGCCCAAGTTGGGCTCGATCCCTGGTGGGGGCATGCAGGAGGCAGCCGATAGATCTTCATGTTTATCTCTTCCTCTTCCTCTTCCCCTCTCTCTAAAAATCAGTAAAAACTTATAAAAACAACAACTCAACAGTGGTCTGGCTCACAGAAATACCCCCAAGACTTGGCAAAAAGGTGACCCTCAAGCCACTCCACCCGGCAAAGAGGAAGTCTGCTGGTTTAGTGAGGGATACTCTGAAAACTCACAAAACTTTCTCCCAGACAAGAGGAAGGGCAGCAGACATCACCCAGTGTACCATGACCTAGGAGTCAGGCAGGGTGGAGAGACAGGGACTTGTGTGGTTGAGACACCTGGCAATGGGCTGAGAAAAATGTAGTTTTCCTCTTCACCTTGGTTATTTAAAAGTCCTGAGATACCAGAATATCTTCTGAGATCAGCCACCAGTGTTAAGTCCCTCCAAGGACAGAATTATTGCCACTCTATTTATTTATCTATTGTGAAGTTAATAGTTTGAGTATGAATTCTTTTGCAGTTTTGTTTTTGCTTCTGGGAGGATTTCAGAGAACTGCTGAATCATTAATTTTTTAGCTTTGCTTGCTTGCTTTTATAACTGCCTCTGGAAGCCCATTTTTCCCCCTTGGAAGATCTGTGTAACAAAGACTGCACAGTAGACAGGCTCCAGGAATTGGCTGCCACTGACCTAACACACCTGCTGAGAGACAAGACACACCTCAACCAGCCCCAGCGAGCACAGCGCTCAGGACGCCTCTGCCACCTGCCAAGCGTGGAACCCAGCCCAGGGGGCATGAGCCGATTACAAAGAAATTACTAAACTAGTTAAAAGACATATTTTTAATCTAGTTTTCCCATTTTATACTAAATCATTAATACAGGTCACAAATTGCATTTATTCGCAGACATCTATAAAACAATCAAAACTGTATATATCTCTCTATACAGATCTTATTAATAAATTTTATTTGGACAAGAGAACTTGTGCCACAACAGTTTTAAACAGCATGATTAAAGACTGCAGCACTCCTAAGAGTGTCACAGGTATGTACAGTATGGGAAGGAAAAGATGCACCTCAGGGCTGATCATGATCCAGTTAAAAACACCTGACACACTATACGTGCTAATATATGCCATTCAGGTCATGACCAGCATGAAAAAATTCAGGACATAGATAACTCGGCACACGTAAATGTGTACAGCAATATGCTGCATTTATGAGTTAAAATCATAGTCTACTTTAGTGTTACCATCAAGCCCTTATGAGAAATTAAAAAAATCTCCTTTCCCATTAACACACGTCAAAAACTATTCACACTTAGGGCTGGACTGGGCGGCTAGTCACAGGCGCACAGGTCCTTGCCTGTGTGGAAACAGTGAGGTTAATACTGAAGGTCTCTCTCGTGTCCTGGCTCACAGCCGCCGTCTGGCTATAATTCCATCTATCGGTCATTAAATAAAACCAGGGGAAGAAACGCAGGTCTCTGGGAATCTTGTCCCTTCCATAAGGAAAATGCTCTGCAATTCAAGTTTCATTCAGTCAGGAAGACAGAAGGCTTTAAGGCTTCGGTGACAATTACAATCCTCTGAGAAATTATTTTCCCTTAAAGTCAAGATAAGATAATAGTGTTTACTGTACTTTCTCTTGACTCTTAAAATCCCTGGTGTCGGTGTAAGCAACTTGCATCTGCAATTAAGTCTGCAAGAGAGGAAGGTCTCTCTTCATCCTCAAAGTGTCCAGCTCACATGCGTGTGGATCGCGTGTCGAACCTCGGCTTCCTAGGAAGCGGGAAAGACACCGAGGCTGAAGCTTTCTAGTAGGTTGAGGAAGCTGTGCTCATAGCATCTTCAGAAATTTTGGTGCTGGCAGGGTGGATGCTTGCAAAGTACTTGACGTCACTGTCATGATCCATCTGAAGAGCCATGATGGTCTGTTCCACAGCCTCCTGGTGACAGCTGGCCGAGGTTAGGAAATAATCTGGAGACAAGTGCAGATTGCAAACAAAATCAGTCTAACTTTCAGTTTTGATAAGCACAAGTATACAAAGTACTTAATCATTATAAAACAGGATTTTCTACAAGTATAAACACAAGCTATATTGAATTATAAACAGTAATCCAAATTGATTTTATATTGTAAATTCCCCAAGCGTAAGAGAATTATCAGATATAATTTGACTAAATCTCATGTCTCATGATGTTCAATGGCAGCGAAGCTAATAAATATATTAAAAACTTATGTGTTATAGCTATTAATTAGCTCAGTAAAAGGAACACTTCCAAAATTCCAAACATATACTGAAAACCAGTCTTCTCTAGCTGTTTTATTGTAATTGCTATTTTAAAAAATTAAATGAATTCCAAAGGAGAAAAAAAGCAATATTAATTTACCCATATTCTTTGAAGTCTATTAAAAACGTCTTTCTATGATTCATTCATGAGTTCATGCATTGAAATGATATTTATGAGACATTTTGGGGGATTGTAACAAATAAAACAACCTGAATCTCGAGGAGTTATAATTTGCATCAAAGTAAATAATACGGGGCATATGTCTTCTGCGTAAGAATGAAAATGAGGAGGAAACACAAACATGCCTCCTGGGCCCCAAACAACATAACAGATGTCAAGAGGGTGGGGGTGGGGCTCCAAGGGCAGTGATTTTTCAGAGTCATAAGTGAATGTGCAATATTCAAACTAGAAAGTTTTAAATTATAAAAAGTTCACTAGCAGGGCAATAATTAAAGGTCCCTTTGGTCGCCCTTATCTGTTCACATAGTCTATGAATCTCCTCCCCGCCACAGACACTTTTCCTAAGAGTCGTGTACCCACCTTTTTCTAGCAGAGTTTGTCGTAGTGTCTTCGCAAGGAGCACTCTAACATTTGGAACCCTATCGTTTGCTAAGGTTAGCAAATGTGGCATCAGATGCACAGCGAACTGTTCCATGGGAAGGCAATCATCTTCAATGACAGTCTGGGGAAAGGAAGTAACTGCTTTAGAGTTGCAAATGTAGTTAGTCCACTTAAGCCATAATACTAGCTCAGAAAAGTCTTTTAATAACAATATAATTGCTACAGATTTTAAACCAATATTCCAGGCACTTGTGAACTCAAAACAAAAATGACATAATTAAACCCCCACTGAGACAGTTTTTAAACTGCTCCACAGACCTGGAGGGTTCTCGGTAAACACTCATTCTCACACCGTGCCCTGCTCCACAGACCCCAAGTGCCCTCTTGGGGACAGCTTTACAAAGAGCTCAGCGGACTTTATAAATGATTGGTGAACCAGGCAGATACCCAACGGAGGAATAGGGGATCCTATAATCAGCCAGGTGGCAAAGTTCTGTTCTTCAAGAATAAAGAGGGTGTTGAGAGAGATAAAGAGTAAAAGAATAAAACCTAGTTCTAGATTTAAAAAAAAAAGTGTCACAAATGGCCGAGTCTTTGCTTACCTGGCAGACAAAGACAAAGGCTTGACGACCAGACCACTTGGGACATCTACCAAAATTTTCTACAAGCTCATGGATGAGGTCCACGCCAAATGTTGGTGGTGTCGCCATGTGCAGCTTCTTCACCATCTCACTGACCTAGGAGAGAGAACATGGAGAAGTGAGGAATATCTTCGTTTTATGATCTTATTAAATACTTTGCTGACCTAAAATTATAAAAATCTTAAAACATACCAACTTGTAGGAAATCCAACGAACAGAAGAAACTTTATCTGCACATAGATTCAGAGCAATGGGGCGTAAATAATCATAAACATCTCTGGCACTGTATAACTCTAGGAGTAAGATCAGCTGTCTACAAAAGTGAGTTATAAAAATACAGTTACAATTTTAAAACAAGACGAATGAAAACAGGTTGATCATCTGAATAATTTGTAATACTGGATATTATTTGTAAGATGGACACAGGCAAAGACTAATAATTAACCTGGTCTCTCATGCAGAGCATCACCTCCCGTCTCTGTATGGCTATGTCTGCAAAGCATTCCCTAGTATGTTCAATTGGAACACAAAACACATTTTTCTCATAGTAACTGTTTAGAATGTGCTGAGAAACCTCCATCTACAATCAATTATGTAAATAAGAGAGTTCTAGCCCAGCTAGCTTGGCTCAGTGGTTGAGGGATGACCTATAAACCAGGAGGTCAAGACTCAATTCCCAGTCAGGGTACATGCCCGGATTGGGGGCTCGATCCCCAGTGTGGGATGTGCAGGAGGCAGCCGATCAATGATTCTCTCTCATCACTGATGTTTCTCTCTCTCTCTACCTCTCTGAAAATAAAAAAATATTTTTAAAAAAGTTTTGTTTGTAAATAAATAAATAAATGAGAGTTCTATCAGTGTACTTACTTATTAAGTACAGCTTCTGAGGCAATGATACATTTACTAGGGATAACATAGTAAGTGGTCCTCTACCAACTTTCCCATTACGTCTGATGGGAACTAAAGACTAGCAGCATTCATCAGGCTAATTTGAGTAGATGCAACAATGCTCATGAAGAAATAACTTGAATATGAATAAGAATTTTGCCTTTCAGATTTTATGTTTAATATTATTTACATTTGTAATCAGCAGGAAGTGAATTGTGGTCATGGTTTCAGTAACCAGATGTCAATCACGGTCCAAAAATATTAAATGGAAAATTCCAGGATTAAGAAAACCGTAAGTTTTAAATTGCACACCGTTCTGAGTAGTGTGATGAAATCTCAAGTAACCCTGTTCCTGCCTGCCTGGGACTGAATCATCCCTTTGTCAGCATCTCCACACTGCACACCCGCCCACCTGCTGGTCACACAGTCGCTGATTCTCACACTGCCTGCTGAGGCATCACAGAGCCTGTTGTGTTCAAGGGACCCTAACTTTATTACTGGTCCCAAAGCACAAGAGTAGTGATGCTGGCAAATCGGATCTGCCAAGGAGAAGCTGTTAAGTGTTTCCTTTAAGTGAAAGAGTGAAAGTTCTTGATTTAATAAGAAAAAAAATTGTATGCTGAGGTTAAGATCTATAATAAGAACAAATCTATCTGTGAATAAATCTTAAAGACATTATGCTGAGTGAAGAAGCCAGACACAAAAAGCCACATGTTATATAATTTTGTATATAAAATGCTCAGAACAGGCAAATCCAGAGACAGAAGTAGGATAGTGACTGCTAGAGGATGGGTGGGCGTGGAGAGGGGTGAAGGTTTCCTTTTGAGATGATGAAATGGTCTAGAATTAGAGAGTGGTAATGGCAGTATGCTACTATCAACATACTATACGTCACCAATTGCAACTCTGGTTATGTGTATTTTACCACAATTAAAGAGAGAGGGAGAGAGAGAAACAGACTAAAAATAAATAAATAAAAGCAAAGAAAAGTCCCTGCATTACAAGAAATGTTAAAGAGCAGGATACCAGACAGAAAATTGGATCTACACAAAGTAATGAACCCAGAAAAGCTAAAATAAATACACACCCTTCCAAAACATAGTCTAATAAACTGTCAGAACTTACTCAGCCAGTTCAGCTCGAAAACGCCAATTTCTACTATTATCTGTCACCAAAAACTCCTGAAGTTGATAAAGATATTCTCTTCTTTTGTCAATATGAAGAAGCTGAAATAACAACAACAAATTCACTAGGACAAAGCACAGACATTACTTCTTTTACTAGACTGCTTAAAAATGACTATAAATGATATGGTTAATTTTTTACAGGAGAATACATTCAGTAAATACATTTAATGGTCTTAAAAATAGGTATTAGGTTCTTTTCCCTGATAATCCCCATTTACCTTTACCTTTAAGAGTCATTATCCTCTTTTCAAAGGTTTGTTTCTTGAGCCAGCAAGTGACTTCCACTGAACTCTACAGTACCATAGCATAGCTTTATTACAGCACATCTACTTTATTCACATGACACCCTCATTATCATGAACTCTCTGAAGACAGAAATTATGTTCTTATTCACATATATATGCCCAGCAGATGGCACTATGATGGCACATAACAGGTGTTCAATAAATACAGGGTGGTGGCAAAAGTAGGCTTATTGTTGTTCATATAGAAAAAAAATAATTTAATCTATATAATAAAAGCTTAATATGCAAATCAACTGAATGGCAGAACGACTGGTCACTACGATGCGCACTGACCACCAGGGGGCAGACTCTTACAGACTCTTAACACAGACTCTTAACCCAGTCCGCAGGCCCCAGGCCAGCCAAGGCAGGTGCCAACAGGGGGCCCCCGAGAATCCCCCTGGTCGCCCCACAGAGGGAGGCCACTGGCAGTGGCAGTGGGGGGCAGGGCTGGCGCCAGGCCGGCCAAGGTGGGTGCCAGCAAGGGCCCCCCCAATCACCCGCCCATTGCCCCACAGATCGGCCCTGATCACTGGTCAGGCCTAGGGACTCTACCTGTGCACAAATTTTGTGCACCGGGCCTCTAGTATAAGAATAAACTGTTTTGTGTACTCACAACTGTAAACCTACTTTTGCCCCACCCTTTCCTGATAATTGCTCTACAAATATTTAAAAGTAGGTTTATAGTCAACATGGGGGGAATCCTAAAATTTTATATAAATAGAAGCAAATAAACATAAGTGTACATAAATAGATAAGAATCACAGAGTGAACTTAGTACTCTGACCATACATCTTCATGGGATATGTTCTAAGGATAGAAAGTGCTGAAGGAAATCTCAAACATGACTTAGTTGATTTCATGTTGCAATTATTACTAGTGGAGTAATTCTGAAACTACTGCATATATGTAGTGGAACTGAAAAAAATGACTAAATATATTAACGTTATTAACAAAAGTTTTTACCATGAAAAAAAAAATAAAGTGGAAAAAGGTATTAGACTGGAAGTAGAGATAACAATATCAAATTAGTCAAATTTAACGTTCAAAACAAATGATAAAAATGGATTATGTTACATTACATAAGAAAGTAATTCTAGAGATCACACAAATACTAAAATATTTCCAAAAAGTGTAAGAAAAAAAAAAGGTTATCTTTACATGAGAAAGGCAATTAATAAGTGTAGAAGGAATTATAAAAACAGAAAATCGGTATTTTACAGCCAACACAGTACCAACTGATTCACGTAAGAACCTCATTTAGATGCATGGATGAAAAAAGCACTGGGTGAAAGATTTGGGGAAAAAAATGTTCAAAGTTTGAAAGATCACCTCATCAAGAAGCTACTAATCACAAAGGTGAAAGGTTGTTTTACAATGGAGGAAGTGAGCCGAAACTACCATAACCAAGTGACGGGACTCAGCGTCACCAGTAATCACAAGAGCTAACATCATGTTAGGCCTGATATGATGCATTCAGAAAACACCTGCTGACCTATACAGATGGGTAATATTCCTGCAAAGGAAACCTGTTTAACCTGAATCTAATTGTGTAACAGCAATCAGACAATTTCAAATTGAGGGGCATTCTGCAAAACAACTGGCTTGGCCTCTTCAAAAATGCCAATTTCATTAAAAACAAAAAGTCAGGGGAACTATTCTAGATTTCAGGGGGCTAAAGATACATGATATTTAAATTCAATATGCAATTCTTAATTGGATTCTGAATTGAGGGAAAAATAGCCATGAAGGACATTAATTAGGAAAATTAGGAAAATTTCAGTATAATCTGTATAAAATACAACAACATGGTATCAATGTTTTTTAAAAAGTAGGATTACAAGGTAATTCCTCAAACCTTAGAACTACAAGAAAACCATACACAGAACAGACTGTTGGTTGCCAAAGCAGGGGGAAGTTGGGGGGCTGACTGGGTGAAAAAGGTGAGGGGATTAAGAAGTACAAATTTAGAGTTACAAAACAGTCATGGGATATAAAGTATAGCATAGAGAATACAGTCAATAATCCTATCTAATAAAAGACAAAAAGGGTAATTAACCGTACCTCTGCTACGCTTCCCATTGGTTAATCAGCGAGATATGAAAATTAACTGCCAACCGAGATGGCGGCCGGCAGCCACGCAGCTGAAGCGAGCAGGAGGTTTGCTTGCTCCAGTGATGGAGGAAGCCAAGGTTCCATGCCTGCCGTGGCCTGGCTCTGAGCCCGAAAGCAACAAAGTTTCAATTATAGAAGCTAAACAAACCCTAGATACCTGCTTTCAGCCAGCCGCGGCCTCAGAGCTGGAGGAGCAGGACAGCAACAAAGTTTCAATTATAGAAGCTAAACAAATCCCAGATACCTGCTTTCAGCCAGCCGCAGCTTCAGAGCTGGGAGCGCCAGTGAAGGCAACAGAGTTTCAATTATAGAAGATAAATAAATCCCAGAATAAAAAAAAAGAAAAAAAGGAGAGGTTGGGAGCTTCAGTTGCAGGCCAGCCTGAAAATGGCCCTCAGCCCCTCACCCAGACTGGCCAGGCACCCCAGTGGGGACCCCCACCCTGAAGGGGGTGTGACCAGCTGCAAACAGCCATCAGCAGGCTGGCCAGGCACCCCAGCAGCACCCCCACCCTGATCCGGGACACCCTTCAGGGCAAACCAGCTGGCCCCACCTGTACACCAGGCCTCTATCCTATATAGTAAAAGGGTAATATGCAAACTGAACCTAACAGCAGAAACACTGGGAATGACTGGTCACTATGACACACACTAACCACAAGGGGGCAGACGCTCAATGCAGGAGCTGCCCTCTGGTGGTCAGTGCGCTCCCACATGGGGGAGCTCTGCTCAGCCACAAGCCAGGCTGATGGCTGCCAGTACAGCGGTGGTGGTGGGAGCCTCTCCTGCCTCCTCAGCAGCACTAAGGATGTCCGACTGCAGTTTAGGCCTGCTCCCTGCTAGCAAGTGGACATCCCCTGAGGCCTGCCGGGCTGCCAGAGGGATGTCTGATTGCCAGCTTAGGCCCAATCCTTCGGGGAGCAGGCCTAAGGCAGCAGGTGGTCATCCCCTGAGGGGTCCCAGACTGCGAGAAGGCACAGGCCGGGCTGAGGGGACATCCCCCACCCCCCGAGTGCACAAATTTTTGTGCACTGGGCCTCTAGTATTGTAATAACTATGTATGTCAGCAATTTTCAACCTTTTTCATCTCATGGCACACACAAATTAATTACTACAATTCTGCAGCACATCAAAAAATAGATTTTGTGCCAATATGACAAAAAAAATGAGTATAATTTTGATTCATTCACATTAGATGACTATTGTGTTGGCTACTGTCATTTTTTTATTTGACAATCTTAAGGCAGTGCTTCTCAACCTGTGGGTCGCGACCCCTTTGGGGGTCAAACGACCATTTCACAGGGGTTGCCTAAGACCATCGGAAAACACATATATAATTACATATTGTTTTTGTGACTATGCTTTAATTATGTTCAATTTGTAACAATGAAAATACATCTTGCATATCAGATATTTACATTACGATGCATAACAGTAGCAAAATTACAGTTATGAAGTAGCAACAAAAATAATTTTATGGTTGGGGGTCACCACAACATGAAGAACTATATTAAAGGGTCGTGGCATTAGGAAGGTTGAGAACCACTGATCTAAGGGAAAAGAGGTCAGTGCCCTTGACCAAATCGTCAGGTATTTGCATGTTTTAAAAATTCTTTGTGGCACACTGGTTGAAAATTGCTGCTTATGTGGCCAGGTGGGTACTGGAAATACTGGGGAACACTTTATGAAGTATTTGATTGTCTAACCACTATGCTATACACCTGAGACTAATAAAATTTACATTGACTATAAACTGTAATTGAAAATTTTTTTTTAAAAAGAACTACGAGAGTGCCAATTTCAAGGCTAAAGTCTAACAACAGTATGCCAGTATCAAGCAATTTGTAAAGTTAGGGCTGTTCACCTCAGACACCAAGTTCCCACATCAAAGGAGTGAGGACTAAGGTTAAATTCTTCTGAAACACCCATAAAACCTTAAAAGTTAATGTTAATGAAAATCTCTTACACATTTAATTCATTAGTTTTGAAAAAGTACAAATATTTATAAACATGTTCTAACATCTTTAAAAATGAAATTTAGCGTATTTATTTAAAATGGATTTTAGAGACAGGAAGTGGGAAGGGAGAGAGGAGAGAGAGAGAAACATTGATATAAGAAACATCAATTGGTTGCCTCTGCACTTGCCCTGACCTGGAGGACGAACCCATAACCCAGGGATGTGCCCTGACTGGGAACTGATTTCACCACCTACTGGTGTATGGGACGACACTCCAACCAACTGAGCCACACTGATCAGGGCAGCGCATTTTTTTTTTTTAATTAAAAATTAAAATGACACCAGCAAAAATGATTAGAATGGTATTTTTTTTTTTTTTAAGTCACAGCTCACCATCAACTCCTGAATGCATTTTCTTCTATAGAATGTACAGAAACTGATCTTGGTAGTAGCAGAAAATTAATATTTTAGATTTACAGTGGAATTTTAGTGTGTTTTTATGCAAAAGAATTTAAAGTTACCTTCAAAAAATCATGCAAGTGTTTAAGGACACCTATCCTTACTTCATCGAGGTCTTTTAAAAATCCATTAAAAATTGGAACCAGATCTATAGCTGTCAATTGATCTCCGAGAATAACTGCAAGCTCATGGATGGAGAAGGCTAAAGTTCTTCGAACTTTCCACTGCAGAAATAAAAATAATTGCATTAGTAAGCTAAATACAAAGTACTTAGTTCTTGAACTTTTAGACAACACGGTAGTTCCCCCTTATCGGCAGTTTCGCTTTCTAAGGCCTCAGTTCCTCTGGAAAACTGTGGCAGAGGAAGTTAAGTCAACAAAGCCCATGAGCCACAAAAAGTCATAGATATCCAGACACATTACCAAGGGTCAATGTTTCACACTCTGTCTCTTTCCAAGGGTGTGGTGGTGTGTGGTGCAGAGAAGAACATGCACGCACACATTGTTAACCTTCTCCCACCTGTACAGCGAAGCTCATAGCACTCCAAGCTCAAAACTCCGCAGTGTCAATAATACTACAGTTCTATCAAGGTTTTTAAATAGAAGCATTTATAACACTGCATGGAGAAAACGAGATCCTATAGTTTTAAGAATTAATCTACACATAAATTTTAGATAATAACACATTTATAAATTAGGAACTTAGACATGTCAGATGTGATCATTTCTAATACTTTAGATAAAAAAGAAGTCACCAAACTGTGGAACTTGAACAATGTAAAAAGAAAGGTCTTTGGTTCAAGCTCTTCTGCACATAATTCCTATAATACCAAGTACCTGCTAGAACATGAACAGAAATTCTATTGGGTTTTGAAGGGCAACACACTGTGCCTTCTATATGCACATGCTGTTAATGCCTTGGCTGTTTTACTCACCTGCATGTCTGATGCCAGAGTCTCGTAAGTCTCTCTTAGGCAGTGCCAGTTCTGCCTGCCAAGGGTCAGGGCCACGCCTGGAAGACTGTATGCACAGTGCTTAGCAATTTCAGTGTCGACTGTCTGTGCACGAGAGGGGTCAGTCATAGATAAATACTGATCTAATAGAGCCTGAGGCACAACGTCCTAATGAAGAGAGAGGACAGGGATGCATTTTGAGCAGTTTAGATATAAGTTAGGTGAACTTACTTTTAAATATATGAATTTAACATAGCATTTGAAATAGTAAAGAAAAAACAATCTGAAATTTTCAGTTATATAACGGAAAAGAAACATGCTGAGGAGAATGCATATATAAATAAAAGCAACTCTAGAGGAAAAACAATGAATAAGATCTTAAAACAGAAAACAGCTTAAAGGACAATTAGAATTGATTTCTAAATTTAAAAGAAATATTAAAAATATGACCAGCACCTTTCAATGTTAGCAAAGATTATAAAGGTTGATGTAACCTAGTGAATGTGGTTACAGGTACTTTTATACACTATTACCAACATGTATTTTTTTTAAAAAAAAAACACCACCACCTGCCTTCAGATGGAAATTTACCAATTATCTATAAAAATTTAAAGTGTATACACAGCTAGCCATTTATATAAATGTGAGACAAAGAAGAATGTATATACAATCTTGGTTATGTACGTATAATATAGCTTTGGAAGGATATACAAAAGAAAGGTGAAATTGGTTCGTTTGGGGGAAGCAAAATGGATGGTGTAGGAGAAACACTGGGAAGGAAAAAAAATCACTGAATGCCTTTGTACCTTTTAAATTTTGAACTATGTAAACTTATCTACTTTTAAAAAATAAATTAAAATGGAAATAAATTCATTAAAAGAATGAGACAAAATGCATGTACTGACTTGAAAATATCTCCAATATTTGGTAAAAGCATACTTAAAAGACTGTGAACATTTTTAAAAGACCGATTCCATTTTTAATAAACAGAACCTACAAAAATAAAGAATATATACCATTTGACCTAGGAAATCCACTTATAATAATCAAGGGCACATGCCCGGGTTGTGGGCTCGATCCTCAGTAGGGGACATGCAGGAGGCAGCCGATCAATGATTCTCTCTCATCATAGATGTTTCTCTCTCTCTTTCTCCCTTCCTCTTTGAAATCAATAAAAATATATTTTTTAAAAAAAGGTTTATAGTCCTAGAAGGAAATAACATGCATAATCATGATGAATGTAACACCGCTTGTAATATGACAGTGCAATGAGACCTGGAAGCATGTGAGGGACTACTGAAGTTATAGCACCTGCTCCCAATGGAGTCCTTATGTGCTCAAATGGAAAGATCTCCAAGATACAACTAAAAAAAAAAAAGAAGAAGAAAAAGAAAGAAACAAAAGGCAAGACATAAACTCTCATGTTCTGATGATTCCATAAACATATTTTCCCACATTTAAAATCTCTACAACTGGAGTGCCACTTGTTATTGATGGCACTTTATTAAGTCCCCCTCCCTTTTTTTTCATGTTTTCATCTCTAAAATCAAGCTGTATCTTAGAATTCTTGGCAACTTAGGCATGATGAAATATCTTGGTATGATGGTATGATTCTATTTTTCTTTGAAAAACAGAAAAGGATACATATATACCCACAATATTTATATATCCACAATAAATTTATGAAGGAATACAGAAGAAATTGTGATTATTCTGAATGAAAAATGGGGTAAGAGGTGTGAGTAGAGAAAGATTTTTGCTTATATTTTCTTCTTATTTGAATTTTCTTATTGAAAGCATGGGGGCAAACTGTAATCCAGTTTCATTCTCTTGCATGTGGCTTTCCAGTTTTCCCAGCACCATTTATTGAAGAGACTATCTTTACTCCATTGTGTGTTTCTGGCTTTGTCAAAAATCATTTGTCCATATACATGTGGTTTTATAGCTGGGCTCTCTATTCTGTTCAATGATCTGTGTGTCTGTTTCCCTGCCAATACCATGCTGTTTTGATTATCATAGCTCTGTAGTATAATTTGAAGTCAGGTAGTGTGATACCTCCAGCTTTGTTCTTTTTTTCTCAGGATTGTTTTGGCTATTCGGGGTCTTTTGTGGTTCCATACAAATCTGATGATTTCTCATTCTATTTCTTTAATAAGTGACATTGGGATTTGGATGGGGATTGCATTAAATATGTATTTTGCTTTGGACAATATGGCCATTTCAACTATGTTGATTCTTCCAATCCATGAACATGGAATACTTTTCCATTTTGTTGTCTTTTTCAATCTCTTTTAATAATGCTTTTAATTTTCAGTACATAGGTCTTTCATATTCTTCATTGATTCCTAGGTATTTTATTTTCTTGGTTGCAATTGTAAAAAGAATTGTCTTCTCTGAAGTTTTGTTGTTAATATTCAGGAAGGCATGGATTTTTGCACATTGGCTTTGTATCCTGCAACTTGACTGTAATAGTTTTTTGGTGGAGTCTTTAGGGTTCTCTCTCTCTATAGAATCATGTCATCTGCAACAAGTGACAGTTTGACATTTTCCTTCCCTATTTGAATGCCTTTTGTTTCTTTCTCTTGCCTTATTGCTCTGGCTAGGATTTCCAGAACTATGTTCAATAACAGTGGTGAGAGTGGACATCCTTGTCTTATACCTGATCTTAGAGGAAAAGCTTTCAGTTTTTCCCCATTGAGTATGATATTAGCTGAGGTACTTTATGATATTATGTTGAGGTACTTTCCTTCTATTCCTATTTTACTGAGTGTTTAATCATAAATGGATGTTGCATTTAATCAAATGCTTTTTCTGCATCTATTGATAAGACCATATGATTTTTAGCCTTTCTTTTGTTAATGTGGTGTATTACACTGATTAATTTGCATATGTTGAACCATCCTTGTGTCCTTGAAATAAATCCCACTTGATCGTTACATACTATTTTTCTGATGTACTGTTGTGTTCTATTTGCTCGTATTTTGTTTAGGATTTCTGCATCTGTATTCATCAGAGATACTGGTCTGTAGTTTTCTTTTTTGTGTGTTACCTTTGCCAGGTTTTGGTATCAGAGTTATATTGGCCTCATAAAATGTGTTAGGAAGTACTGCCTCTTAATTTTTTGGAAGAGTTTGAGGAGGATAAGTTTTAAGTCTTCTTTGAATGGCAGAATTCACTGACTAAGCCATCTGATCCTGGACTTTTGTTTTGGGGAGGCTTTTGATGGTTGTTTCAATTTTCTTATTACTGATCAGTTTACATAGAAGAAAATATATGAACCAAATTTATAAACCTTGGTCACAGAGAACATTTTATGAACTTGACCTCAAAGGCAAGGGAAGTAAAGGCAAAAATAAATGAATGGGACTATATCAAACTAAAAAGCTTCTGCACAGCAAAGAAACTGACAACGAAATAGAGAGGCAGGCAGCCAGGCAGGAGATAATATTTGCAAACAGTAGCTCTGACAAAGGTTTAATTTCCAAAATATATAAACAACTCAGAAAACTCAACAACAAACAAACAAACAAACAAACCCAATCAAAAAGTGGGTAGAGGACCTGAAAATATACCTCTCCCAAGAAGACATATGAACAGCCAATAGAAGAAAAGATGTTCAAACTTACTAGCAATTAGGGAAACGCAAACCAAAACTAAAATGAGATACCACCTCACACCTATTAAAGTGGCTATTATGAACAAGATAAGCACTAGCAAGTGTTGGAGAGGTGTGGAAAAAAGGGAACCCTCATTTACTGCTGGTAGGAATGGACTGATACATCTACTATAGAAAACAGTATGGAGGTTCTTAATAAAATTAAAAATAGAGCTACCTACCATATGACCCAGCAATCCCTTTCCTGGGTATATACCCCAAAAAACTTCAAAAACATGTATTTGCAAAGATAAATGCACCCCTATGTTCACTGCAGCATTATTCAGTGGCCAAGACATGGGAACAACCAAAGTGTCCTGCAATAGAGGACTGGATAAAGATGTGGTACATATACACAGTGGAAGACTACTCAGCCATAACAAAGGATGAAATACTGCCATTTGCCACAATATGGGTGGACCTTGAGAATATTACGCTAAGTGAAATCAGTCAAAAAAAGCTAAGAACCATATAATTTCACTCATATGTGGGACATAAAACTAAAACTCGTGAATACAAACTGCAGTGTGGTGGTTGCCAAAGGGAAGGGGATCCTAATATATGGTGACAGGAGAGGGTCCTAATATTTGATGACAGGAGAAAAATTGACTTTGGATGGTGGGCACAAGGTGCAACATACAGATCTTGTCACAAAGAAATCCATACCTGAAACCTATATGATCATATTAACCAATGTCACCCCAATACATTTAATAAAAAAAGAAAAAAGAAAGCATGCTATATTAGTCTTAATTTTTAAAACAGAACAAATTCAGTGAAAAGTAGCTTTAAAAGAGGAATTAACAACAGCCACACCGAAGAAAGCACCTTTGTCACTTACTTGTACTTTAGGTCTTCTTTCCTCATCAGGGCTGAAACTACTACTAGTGCTCAAGTCTGAGTCATTATGAATATAACGAAGGGTGGAGTCCATGTTCTGTTAGGAAAAAATATTTACTTAAAAAGTTGAACTGTCTATAAGTTTCCTTCATCTAAACTATCTTACCTTTTGAGACTGCCAAAGATATAAATACATTTAAGTTCTTCATGTTTTTAAAAGTTTATAAATATACATAAGGCTTCATTAAGAACTTCCCCTGCCTTAAATCAAACTTGCTGAATAGGATGCTACATGTATGAAAAAGAATTTCAGAATAAAAGTAATTTAACATTTAGAATTAAATTTGAAATGTCCCAAATAGTTAAAATTAGCTTGTTTATAAAATAGTACATAGAGGACTTGGGATGTCATATGAAGTTCTTCCACTGTTTCTAGTCTTGGCTATTTCTAATTTCACAAATACACATTTTTAACAGTAAAAAAAACCCCACACACAAAACAACCCCAAAATAAAAAGAACAACACCTTCCAAAATGCAAAGATAGCATAGTATTCAAATCTCCAATGATAATCGTGGTTAGGGATTCATTCTGAACCAACTATATTATACAAAATTTCTAATATACTAGATGTCATCAACCAAAAAACAAAACAGGAATCCACTAAAGTTTAAAAACCCTCTTGCCATCCCCACTGTGTGTACGTAGGTACTCTTGCCTGAGCTTTTCATTCAACCCACTCTGTCTGTGACCATTTGATTCTGGCATTCAGGGGTGTAGTTCTTCTCTGTTTATAAAAACAAGGGATCAGAAATACTGATACCAAATGATGCTGGCTTGGTGGGACGTGGTAGGAAATTAAGGAAGGATCATATAGAACAGCTCCAAGTATACAGCAAAAATGATGCTAGTAACAGTACCCACCCTCACACTCCAGAGTCCAGATAATGCCACTGGCCCTCCGCAACATGGCCTCAAGTCCTGATCTTCTGCTCAGAATACTGTGTTGCTTGCTGCAGTGAAATGGTCCGATCAGAAACAAAGCACCTCTCCAAAAAAAAAAGGGAAGAGTTAATTATTCTTGATAAAGGGCTTTGTTTCCAGTAAGACTATTTCACTGCAGTAAGCTACATTAACATTGAAGCTACTAAAATGGTCATGTAGACAGGATTAGGATTTACTTTCTAAGCACTGAACATACCATCAGTCACAGATAGGATGTGGTGACATTTACTTTTACTTTATGCAAAAGGTAGAGCTAAGAAAATCAGCAACAAACAGAATATACTAACTAGAAAGTGATTAGCTACAACTATTCCCCAACGAAACACTTCTAATTCAAACTACTCTCACTTGATAAACACTTTACTGAGTTTGTTACCTCAACAGCATCGCTGATTAAAGGCACGGAGGCATCATGATTTATTTTACAGTTTGGTTGCTCACTGACACACAGTTCATCTTGCACATCACTTCTCTTTTCTGTATCGCTGGCCTCTTCGTGAGCATCCAGATTGGAAGCTCGCAGCGCAGCAGACAGCACGTCCACTTGTGCTATAGGCAGAATAGGGAAATGATAATAAGTGGCAGAATTACAATGAAATGTGTACTTTTTGACACTGCCACCAAAAAGCTGGAAAAAAAAACCTCTACGTGGTAAATCATTAGTCCTTCAAGAGAAAAAGTAGAAAACTAATATGCTTTCATGAGATTAAAAATGCTTATCCACTACTGTACATTATTCTGCGTTAGTATGAAAAGAGAAATGCTATCTAGTTTTGGAGGTACCTCCAGTTTATTAAAAGGAGTCAATTTCAGTGTGAGTTAACTATGTTTGGGTAGTGCATAAATCGAACTTATAAGACTTACTTACTAAGCTATTTTAGCGGAAGAGCAGTCACTTTACAAACCCTGCCAACATAAAACAATCGCAATTACAAAGATTTTTGTTGCAGTTACATTTAAACATCTCATATCTTATTCCAGTTTATTTTTCTCTAATTCTTTTTGAAAATGAAATCAATGACTTGCCCCAAACACAGATCCCAAATGAGTACTGTCTTGTTTACAACAAACCAAACTGACAACTTACCAAGTTCTTAAATCTGGCAAGTAGCACTAAGTTTTGAGTTATACCTTCTTTATGAAAGTGACTCAAAACTGAGATAAATCATTTTTTTCTGACCATGACTGCCAAAAGTGCCCAATTCTTTCATTGGGCCTAAACTGGAAAGAAATCTATATTTTGTGAGCTTGGGCCATTTTTCCTTTTGTAGTCTATGAACCTAGCTGTGGTAAATCAAGCTGATATCAATAATTCTACTTGGGCACTGCTGAAATTCAATCCTGAATCAGCTTGGCAATCCCAAATGTTCTGGACAAAAACAGAAAAGCCGCAAATTCCCTGGGTAAGTATTTTGGAAAAGAGGATCTCTTACACCTACTTCATATTTTACTACTTCCCTTTTTGGCCTTTCATGTAGGATCTATTTCTGTTATAACTAAGAAAGGGCTTTCTTTTTCTGAAAAGGAATATCTCATTATTGTCCATGAAAACATTTAAAATTTTTGTTCAAAAACTTACAAGGAAGTTAAAAATCATCAATGCTTCAAGGAAGGTGAGTTAAATTGGGAAGCAAGGGCTGCTTTAAAATTTTAAAAAACCTAAGTCTTGCTCCCCCCTCACCCTCCCCCCCGCCCCCCCAATGACATGCCCCACCCAACAGTGATAAGGGGAAAGAACAAGTGGCACAGAAGCTTGTAAAGCTGAAGTTTAGCCCCTGGTCAGAATTTAGTTCCCAATTTTGGCTTAAAGTTCTGCCCTTCCAAAAAGTAGACATTTTCTGCAATTTGCCACGATGGCAGATTAGAAAAGAAAAAACATCCAAAACTAAGGTATATGCCTTTAAAAACTCAAAACACCTCCTAACATACAGAAAATTAAGGCATAGTAAATTTTAATTAACTATGGATTAAAAATGGCCTCAGATTTCAATGAAATCAAATGCTTAAGAATTCTGTAGCCAAAGCAGAAAATCCCTAGCACTGCCTAGCTATGTTTTACGAGAGGCCATTTGACACAGGCAGTTAATGTATTGTCCCAACCTTCTGTGCTCTCTGAGGCTGGGATTTTTGTCTGGTTTGTTGCTGCTATATATTTAGTAACTAGGGGAGTATCAGGAACATAGTAAGTACTCAATAAGTAATGATAAAATAAATAAATAAATAAATAAAATAAATAAATAAATAAATGGCTATGTTATAAAAGTTATTCTTATAAACAGAAAGAACATGATAAATTTAAAACTTTTTGGTAATTGAATTTTTTTAAAGCTATGTTTTTACTGATTTTTAGAAACAGAGGAAGGGAAAGTGATAGATAGGAACATTGATGAGAGAGGAACTTCATTGATCGGCTGCCTCCTGCACGACCCCTAGTGGGGATCGAGCCCGCAACCCAGGCATGTGCCCTAACCAGGTGACTGGGAATAGATCTGGTGACCTCTTGGTTCATGGGTTGACACTCAACTGCTGAGCCACACCGGTGGGGCAAGAACATGACAAATTTAAAACATGATAGGTTTAAAAGGTAAATCAGAAAGAGAACTGATTAAATCACAATATAGTATTTGTGTTGAAACCTCTCAATTACAGCTTGTAAATTTACAATACAATTTTAAGCCAAACATGATAAGTATTAGCCATCTTCTGAAATGCAGAGTCATATACTGAAGCTTACATGTACATGTAGGTCTTTTTAAAAAGCAAACTATACATATCATTTTTAGCTTGTTAAAAAAATTAAAGTAGCTCTTCAATATTTCAGTATTTGTTAAGTACCTACTGCATGTCAGAAAACTAGAAGGTACTGTAGTAAACACAGTGAGAATTCCCAGAACAGGCTTACAGCCTTTTTCCATAAAATGGAGTGTAAGAAAAACAAAGTATAAAAGTTATTGGTTTGATCAACTGAATAAAACTTAAGTTGTTAAATGATAATAAAATTTATTTAAACAAAAAGCTGAAAGCTGTAAAAACAAACATTTATCAAGAGTTGACTATCCTCAGCTATGAGCATCCTTAGTTTTAGGTGTAATTCTCTGTGTCTCAATTTTCCTCATCTGGGGGTGGAAGGGTGTAGAGAAATGGAGGGAGAATACAAAGACAAGATTTTGGTGAATATTCTAATTTATCAAACAAAACAAAACTTGATGATGTAGTTCTTGTTACATCAAGTTGTCGTAAAATGCAGAATGCTGGTTCAACGGGGTAAATAAAATCAACAACAGAAGCCACAATTGAGGAATGAACAAAGAAACGACAGGTCGCTATGATGCACACTGACCACCAGGGGGCAGACGCTCAGTACAGAAGCTGCCCCCTGGTGGTCAATGTGCTCCCATAGGAGAAGCGCCGCTCAGCCAGAAGCCACTGCCTTTACACTAAGGATGTCCGCAGGGAGCAGGTGTAAGCTGTCATTTGGACATCCCCCAAGGGCTCCTGGACTGAAAGAGGGCGCAGGCCGGGCTGAGGGACCCCACTCCAAGGGCACAAATTTCATGCACTGGGCCTTTAGTGTTTTCATAAAAAATAATCTACCAGGAGAGATAAAAAATAGGATATGCTATTGAATATTTTCATATTCAATATTCAATATTTCGGCTCTTGCTTTTGTTTCTGAATATAACAAAAAGGAATGAACTACTGATACATGAAACAAGGATAAATCTCAAACACATTATGTTAAGTGACAGAGTAAAAAAGAAGTTACTGCTTGATTCTATGTATGTGGCATTCTACAAAAAGCAAGATCATAGGGACAGAAAACAGATTAGAGGTTGTCAGAGGCTGGGCATGGAAGAAAGGACTGACTATAAAGGGGGACAAAGAATGTTCTGGTGATGAAACTGTTCTGTATCTTGACTTAGGTGGTGGTCACACACAACTCTATGTGTTTGTCGAATCTCACAGAACTGTCCACTCAAGAGGCCAAATTTTACTGATATAAATTATGTCCCAATAAACCTAAAAAAGAATGAAACTGACCATTTTCCAATTAAATTAACTTTGAACAATCAAGGATATGAATTTGCCTTTAATCAAATCATTTTCCTCCAAATGTAAAATTATAATAGAAAATAATTTAAAAATAATTTAAAAATCATTTAATCATAAATTAAAGCCAAATAAAGATAACTGCTAACTTAACCACCAGAATGCAATTTTCAAAGTTTGAACACAGGTTTTGTATGTTTTAGAAGGATACTGAAGGTTATTGTTTTAGCTGCTTTAAAAGTGGGTATTTACTAACATTGAGCAAAACAATAGTTTATAAATTTTAAGTTTTAGAACAAGGCCAAAAAATATCCACAAAAAGATATAAGTTCTAAAGACCTCTAATTATAGGATTTGTCAAAATTGTTTTAAATAGCATCTCAGATTTCACTGAGTAAAGTTATGAGTCATTAGGAAGCCTCAGTCTTCAAAGGGGCAGGAAGATAACATCTGCTCAGGTTCTGGCCTGATCACTTCCCAAGCCTCAGCAAGTAGAACAGGACTGCGTCAGGACATCTGGTTCCCACACACTGGGAAAACATATTCCACTTAATAAGAGGCAACTTTTGATTTGAACACAGAACAACTTTATGGCTGCATTCACAAGGAAATAATGTAGGTGATAAATGTGTAATCCAATGGAAAAAAGTCAAAACTGAGAAAGTAAGCTAATTGACTCTTACAGACAGACGTCTACAGCTCTCAAAACACATCATATTCCACAGAAAAATAGGTTATTTTTGTCAGCTGTTAATAACGCATGGTCCTTCCTTTAAAAACTCTGCGTCCTCTGCTATTTTATGAAAAAGCTAATGAGACCTAGAGCAAAATAGTTAAGGCAGGACAATATTTAAAACCGTAAATGTAAAACACTGTTTGAATGATTGTGAAAATTTTAGAGATTTATGAATCAACAAATCTGTAAATACTAGTTAGGAACACAGTGATGAGCTTATCTAAATGAAATTACCTAAAAATATTGTAGTTATCAAGACAAGACATGATGACAATGATCAAATTTTTAAGAAGGCATTTTTTATTTTTTCTGGAAAAAAGGTAAGCAAACACTTTATACCAACTTTAGAATAAAGAACTTGATTAAATATTCCATACCTCTAACATCCGGATCATCAATATGCGGCTCTAGATTTTCTATCATTTCTTCAAGTTCCTTTCTGGTGGCCATAGTGATGTTTGAAGAACCTGGTATGGTTGCTTCAGGTGTTTCTTCTGGTCTCTCTGGGTTAAGTTTATTCCCAGAGCCCTGCTCAAGTTCTATATCTAGATCTATTTCAGGAAGAGGAGTCCTCCAGAAATGGAAAGAGTTGTATAATTCCTGATCTAAAAGAGCAGAATCTTGTGAACTGGTGCCAACCTCTGGCCGTAATGTAGATTTGGAGTTACCAGGTTTTTTATCATTTTCATTACTAGCTGCTTCCTGATGAGAGTCTGAGGACAAAGTACAAAGTAAAGAACTGTCCATTGGAACACTTATTTCACCTGGAGATTTCCTAGTTGTTTCAGTATGATCTTCCATGTTTCCCAGTTTGACACTGGAATTACTAATACTGGGATCTGAAGGAACATCCTCTGTCCTGATTTGTACATCCTCTGGGACTTCTTGATCTCTGATCCTTTTATTGTTTCATTTGGGGGGGAAAAATGAAAGTATAAAAATAATTACTGGAAAAAAATCAATGACAGATACTACATAAAGCATTTAAACGAGCTAAATATTACGAAGTACAGAGTATCCATACATATTGAGTAATTTGCATAAATTACTGATAATGCTTCTTTTCCATCAGTTGTTCTGTGTTCAGAGATGTAAACATTTGTTAAGCCTAAGTCTAGATATTAAAGCATTAGATATTAGTTGGAGGCAATAACATTTAAGAATCCTGGAATCCTACAATACCATGATAATTTCAATAATTAATAAAAAATAGTAGGAAGGTAAAGTCCTACAATGCATTTTAAGATAGACACATTTTTAAAGTTATTTGATTTTTAGGATTATGGCACTGCCACTCTGCTCCAATGACATAATGAGAAGCTGAGAATTAAAACCTATTTGCTTACATTAAAAAGAAAAGAAAGCTTGACTGGCGTGGCTTAGTGGTTGAGTGTTGACCTATGAACCAAGAGGTCATGATTCGATTCCTGGTTAGGCACATGCCCGGGTTCAATCCCCAATCTTGGGCGTTCAAGAGGCAGCCGATCAATGATTTTCTCTCTCATTGATGTTTCTATATCTCTCCCTCTCCCTTCCTCTCTAAAATGAATTTTAAAAATTAATATTTAAAAATAAAAAAAAACACCTCTACACAGCATTACAAAAGATTTTATTTACTATCTCAGAAAATATATAGAAATCCACTCAAGTGTTTTAAGTTATTTTTATTTCTTCCAGCTCTTTTCACTTTCCAGCTCTACTCCCATAGGTTTTAACCAAAATGGAGCCATGACTTAATTGATAAAGACAGATGGTACAAATTCCTAAAGACCACAGATTATCGCCATTCATTATGTAAACTAAAGCACTACATTAATGTTTATCCCCTACATTTTATTAGACCCGATTAAATTTACTAATATATACTGAGCACCTACTAGGAACCAGAAATAAAATGGATATTGAGGATTCATATGTGAAATGTAGATCTTATTCATGAGACTATAATTAGAAGCAAATAAAAAAAAAAAAGAACTTATAAGCAAATAATTGTCAGGTAGCATGGTAAATATATAAGTATGCACAATGAACACAGGAGATAGAATTGAGAGTTGAAATTAAAAGGCTTCAGAGGAAATGATATAAGTTGTATTTAGAAGAACCAATAAATGTTTATGAGGCTAAGGGGAAGAAAATGTATGGAAAGAAGAAACAGCATATGCAAAGGTAAGGGTGATAAAGGTGGTAGAACACATTCAGAAAAGAGCAATGAGTTTATTATGGCTAAAAGAAGGAAATGATAGATGACAAGGATGAAAAACTTTGCAGAAATCACTATATTCCATACTAAATACCTCTGGAATTTATCGTATGGGCTATAGGAAATAAGGTAGGAATTAAGAGACTTACATTTTTAGATGTTATTTTTGAAAGACCATTCTGGAAGCAGTACAGAAAATTGGTTGGAGGTGAGACAAGAGGCAGGAAACATAAGAGAGTAGGTGATAGGCAGTGATGACTTTCTGAATGAAGGCACTGTATTTGGGGTTACAGTAGAAGTAAACACATTCAATGATGACAAAACCAATAGGACTTGTTCATTTACTGCATGCTGGAGAAACAAAGGGAGGCATCTGGGAAGATATCCAGATTTCTGGCTAGAGCAACTGATTAGATACTGGTAGCACCAACTAAAAGTGGAAAATGCAAGAACAATTCAATGAGAAAGCTAATGAGTTCCAGTTTGGACAGACTGAGTTAGGTGTCTATGTCAAAGGTGGTGGTGATGTCCATGGGAAACTGGTCAGACACTGGAGACAGATTGGGAGGTCATCAAGTCAGAGGGACATGTGTAGGGCTTAGATGTAAGGCAAGAAATATGAATGAAGGAAAACACAGCAGTCACACAGAATAACACAGAGTGAAGGCATTTTTCTTATATAAGGGATAGTAAAGATGAGTATATTTTAGGCTTAAAGAAAGGGTTTTAAGAGGTGAGGGAACTGGAGACATAGGAGAATGATGAAATAATGATAAAGCAATAAGAATATGGGCTCAATAACACAGATGGATAGATGAAGTGAAAACTCTAAGAAACATGAGAAGGATGGGTATGTAGGTAATTTGTAAGATGAGTATGTATGTGTGTGTGTGGGGGGAATTAAAATTGTTCACATGAAACATTATGTGCCTTTACATGCACACAATGAAAGATATTAAACCGCAGGCCTGCCAGAACTATGCAAAAGTGGAAGGTGACGTTAACAACTATGTAAATCCCATACATGTTTAATAGTCAACCATACACAATCTCATGAAAGTATCACCTTTCCTCTGATGTGACTTTATCTAATAGCAATGTTCACATTATCAGAAACACTTTTAAAAAACACATAATTATTTTTAAAAAGTTTTAAAATAGAGATAAAAATATCTAATAAGTCATCTGAAAATATGACAGACATTTTAAATTCTGGTGTTGCCTTCCCATTCTTTTTTTTTTCCCCCTTCCAGTCTTATTAACTGTAAAATATATAGTATGCACACATAATAAAATTCTGTTACAACTGTGAAAAGATTGAATTGCAAATTCTTAGATACTTATCCTAGTATTGGCACTACATTAATCTAAAACTCCAAGCCTTTTAGGGACTCACATTCCTCATGTACTCCTTATTCATAAAAATGAGGAACTGGCTTAGATGGCTTATAAGATCCTTTCCCTCTCCAAAAGAGTTCTTAAAGCTAGTGCTATTATGCAAAACAAATGTCTTCTATATGTGTATGAATTATGTAATATTTTCCAATTATGTTGTTCTTATTAAAATATATTTCTTCTTGCCGAAACCGGTTTGGCTCAGTGGATGGAGCGTCGGCCTGCGGACTGAGAGGTCCCAGGTTCAATTCCGGTCAGGGGCATGTACCTGGGTTGCGGGCATATCCCCAGTGGGAGATGTGCAGGAGGCAGCTGATCGATGATTCTCTCTCATCGATGTTTCTAACTCTCTATCTCTCTCCCTTCCTCTCTGTAAAAAATCAATAAAATATATGTATATAAAAAAAATATATATATATATATTTCTTCTTTTGTTTTAAAAAACATTAGTGGCTCACCAATGTGGCTCACTGATTGTCAACCTATGAATGAGGAGGTCTCAGTTTGATTCTTGATCTGGGCACATACCTGGGTTGTGGGCTCAATCCCCAGTCGGGGATATGCAGGAGGCAGCCAATCCATGATTCTCTCTCATCATTGATGATTCTACCTCTCTCTTCTTCTCCCTTCCCCTCTCTGAAATCAATAAAAACATTAAAAAAAAAAAAAAAAAGAACATTAGTGGAATAATTGGTAAAATCTGAATGAAGTCTTTAGATTAAGACGACAGTATTGTATCTACACTAATTTCTTAATTTTGGTAATTAGACTGTGTGGTTATATTAATGTCTATGTTTTGAGGAAATACACAGTAAAATATTTAAGAAAGTAAAAAAAGTAAAACAGTTTTCACATGTCTAAAATTTATTCTCAAAAACTCAGAAAAAAGGAATAATAAAGCAAATATGGTAAAATGTTGACATTTGGAGAATCTGAGTAAAGGGTATATGGAATTCTCTTTTATTTTTGCATTTTTCTGATATGCAAACTAAATCTTAAAAATTATAGTAACAAGGTACTGTTTTGTGGGGGTAGGGAGCAAATGAGTAAAACTTGTAATACTTCAACTATTATCTGATGAATTTTAGAAAGTTCCATTTAAAATATACAAAAAGAATGCAATTAAGTATATAAGACTATTCCAAGGGCATGAAGTTCCTTGATCATTATTTTTACCTTAGCATTCAAATTAAATTTTAATATTAAAATTAATTAAGAATATTAAATTTGCCATGGCTGCTGCTCGATCCCTGATTGGGGTACATGTAAGAGGCAGCAGATTGATGTTTCTCTCTCTCTCTCCCCCCACTGCCCCTTCCTCTTTCTTTAATCAATAAAAACACATTTTTAAAAAAGGAATACTACATTTTAATATTCTTAGCCTAAAAAACAAAAAGAACAGCCAAGTAATTCTACTTGACTAATGTAAAATTACTAGTTTGTACAGTTTTTAAAAGAAGAAAAAAAAAAGATTTCCCAGTATTAAATTTTGGGAAGAATTATACATGTATGAATTATAGTTGCTTCAAATTGTCAAAAAATAAAAGTTCTCTAAATACAGATTTTCCTGCCTGGCTGGAGTGGCTCAGTGGTTGAGCCTCAACCTGTGAACCTGGAGATTATGGTTTGATTCCCAGTCAGGGCACATGCCCCAGGTTGAGGGCTCTATCCCCAGTAGGGGTTGTGCAGGAGGCAGCCAATCAATGATTCTCTCTCATCATTATAATGTTTCTACCTCTCTTCCCTTCCTCTCTGAAATCAACAAAAACATATTAAAAATAATAATAAATACAGATTTTTCCTAGAACTGGATAAGAGTCAATGCAAGATCAAGCTGCTAGATGCCAAAATTCTGATATTCTGAATTATCGGACTTCCAAATGCCATTATACAAGCAAACATTTTTGAAAATTGAGGAGACATGGTTCTGCATAATGAGAATTATTTCCCAAGAGATCGTAGGCAATAAGAGCACCAGAGAGTAAGCCAGAAATTTCTCTCAAAAAGAACCTTAAGTTTCCTTTAGTTTATGATTAATATTTGCAGAGTTCCTGACTAGAGACCGTGGGCCTAGAAAATGAGTACCTGTACCCGTTTTTCAAGGAGAAAATGACCTACAGAACATCTGGTTAAAGAAACACTGTATCCTGAGATAAAAGCAAAGAGCACTCTCCAAGATACATCTTCCAAGTGCTGTGAATTAAATAAATGAAGTTTTAACTGTGAAACATTTCCGAATTTGTACCAATAACAATATTACTTTCACATAGTTGGCATTAACCTAAACTGACAAAAACTAGCGTAAGTGGCTCATCATTTAAGGATTTTTAAAATTAAATATATTTCCTTATAATAAGTCACTCAAAATTTATTACGTGCCAACTATGTGCCAGACCAAAAGAAGGTGTTAAGAGTACGAAGATAAAAAAAAAACCACATTGCTACGCAGGATGGACTTGTAGTCTATTAGATGACATACAGAAATACACAATTAAAAAGATAGGGGTGTGTAAGAGACTGGGAGGAGGGTGGAAGGGGGGGGGATGGGAGATATTTGTAATACTATCAACAATAAAAAATACATTTAAAATTGAAAGAAAAAAAAGACCTGACTAAAAATTATTCTCATTCTAGTCCTACTGACAGCCAAGATGCAAAAGCTATGAATTTCCTGAAAAAATGCAGGGATATATTCTTGGAGGTAGTGAGTCTAGAGACAGCAAACACACTGACACTGACTTTGTTAAATAAGGTACAAATGGAACAGCAGGGCTTCCCAGAAAGAAAGCATGGAGAACCAAAAGAACAATGTGTTCAAAGAATAATGTAATCGTTGGTTTGACATAATTTAGAAATGCAAGTTTGAAAATAGCCTTCTAAAGTAGCTTTTACTAACGCCTTCAAAGAACCATTGAAATAGCCTACTCTGGGGTGAATGAAAGATAAATTTTGTATATAAAGTTAGATGTTTATAATTAATAAATTCTTCAAACACTGTTAAATGATAGTAAATGTTTCCAGGGTCAGATGAAACAATATATAATAAGTAGTAATGGAAATACATTGCCAAAACCTTATTTTGTAACATAGTAGAGAAATCTGAATTCTAGGAAACTGAGAGGACTGTGAGAACAGGTATCAAGTTCTCTATATACAGTAGCTGGTTGTTAGTAGGTGCTCAATTAATTTTTGCTCAATCAATCAATCCTAAATAATAAAACATCAGTTTAAAACAAAAGCCAGTGCAGCATTTAAGAGAGGGCAAATAAACTAATGGTTATGAGATTAATAATATATAGGACGACTTTTTTTGAAGCTAGGAAGTAAAACTATACAAAAGTTTTTACAATGTTTTTAACAAACTTCCTTAGTCAGGAATTCTTTCTTCTCTCCCTTACACCATTAACACATTTCAATAAAGTTATATAAAGTAGTGAAAATCCAATATTACAAATAGTATTGGCTTGACATTAAGACATACCTCAAAATACAATGGAAGAGAAATTAAGGTTTGTAGCTAAAAGATAACTACCTTTAAATAGCTCTTCCAATAATGTCCAATACTGGCAGTGAGCAAAACTATTGGCCGTGATAGCCACAGCAACTATTTTTGCCAATGAAGTTTTATTGAAACAGAGCCAAGCCCATCTGTTTATGTACTGCCTATGGCTGCTACACACTGCAAAGGCAGAACTGAGTAGTTGTGACAGAGACTGAAAACATTTGGCCTTTACAGAAAGTTTCCTTATCCCTATGTTATGCAATTTTCTGTAAATTTTTATTTTCACTTACTAGACTGTCTCCAGTTTTAAAAATAAATAAGTTACATCATAGCCTTTGTACAATTAGATAGGGAAAATACATACTGACTTTAAAAATGAAAAGCAGATAACATCCCCCACCCCCAATCATTATTTTTGTAAAATTCCTTGCAGCAGCTGTTTTCGAAAGAACTGATTGTGCTTGCTAGGAAGGCAGGTTTAGGGTGATTTTTCTTCCTTTACAAAAAACAGTACCTCAGGTTTGTTTGGCTATTCAGCAGGACAGTAGGAGAACAGGCAAAAAGGTAAAACAAGGCAGCAGAGAAGAAAGGAAGAACTGCCAAATCAAAACACCAAGAAAGCAAATATCACAGTATCAAGACCTACAGAAGAAAATGTCCATTAGCATTATGACAAGGGAGGGACAAAGCACTATGGTAACTCAAGCATTATAGTAGGGGCTGTTTCAAAACCAGGTATTCAATTATTTCAAATGTACACCTGCAAAAATTTGTGCTTAATTCCCATGCACTAAGCAATGTTTGAATTGTTTTTTCCCTAAGTATGTAATATAATTTAAAAAAAACTAAAACTCAATTAAATTTTTTAAATGCAAAAATTTTAAAAATAAAAATGAGTTGTCCTCTAAGTTTCATTTAAAAACCTGTTGCCCTATTAGTTTAATACACTTAAAATTGATATTCTAGTTACTAAGTACAGAAATGTGGTGCTAATCCTTAGAATACTTTCCTCCTCAACTGAAATTACAATCATCATTCTGTAGACAGAGAATCCAAGATCCACAATTAAATAACTGATTGGAAGGAAAAATAATAGTAAGAAATGGACTATATACTAAAATATATACCTAAGTTAGGATTTATTCCTTAAAAAACCAAACCCTTTAAGTTGTACAACCATTACCTCATATATTCTAAGTGTCAACAGATTATTTCCTGGGTAATAATTTTTAAGTAAACTTATTCCAAACTACTATTGAATCCATCATTTATAGTTTTCCATGTGACTGGCTTCAAACTAAGTGTGTCACGTGCATCTTCATTTACTCATTTAATATACAAGCAACCAAAACGTTTAACAAATGTATTTAAAACTAAAACTATAAAAATATTTACCAATTTGTATAATCAAGAGAAACAGAAAATTTCTCCAAAAAGAACTTATTATAAAATAGTGAAAATGAAAAAGAAAATGTTCCCAAGCAGTAAAACTGGAAGCAAAGTTTTAAAAATTTATACCTATTTTTGTCTTCTACTGACGTATTTTCTGAACTTTTGCTTTCTTCTTTAAAATACTGGCCTGAGCTTGATGGATTAGCAAAAGTAGATATGAAAGGTCCCAGAGACTGAAAAGCTGCTTGGCGAACCTAGAAGAAAAGAAAAACAGTCATGAAACATAAAATATGGGATTATTAACAATCTACTTTCCACATACTTAATGAAGTATGTTTAAGATAATAAAGTTTTCCTAAAAGAAACACAGATTCAGAACTATAAATCATTCCTCAGCTAGATTTAAAGTTCTTTATACACTACTTTCTTTTTTACTTTCAATTTTCTTTTTTATCCTGGCTTGAATATTTAAACCATGAGAGTATGAATATGAGATCCTATAAAACATTTACATGGAACAAAACTAAAGAAAGTCCTGTTGTGTTCTCAGGAACAATAAGAATGAATAAAATCAAGATGCCGAACAGAAAATATAAAGCTGTAAGTCCACAAAATGTGATAAATCTGTTTAATGTTTTAGGATAGGAAAGACTGTAATTTATTCACTACAAGGAAGCAAGGCAGATGTATGGGAACTATATACATGCTCATCAGGAATACAATATTGACTTAAAATATTTTTCACAAAACTCTGGAAGCATATATTACTGTTATCAATAAATGTCTCAAGTAGGAGAACTGAAAAGGTTATAGAATTATACTTCATACTGTGTTCCTGTATTATGTCTGTAAATATGATTAAAAACCACAAGCATTTGTAAAGGAGATGTTCATGGGAGGAAATAGAAGGATGGACACAATCTGACAAAAACAACTACGATGGGAAAAACTATAAACCAATTTCCCTGAGATTTCACCTTTTAGGCATAACAATACCTTTTCCAAGTTTTAAAATAAGGATTGCATGAGATGTGTAAATTTTACAAAGGCAAATAAATACATGGAAAGTATTGGTATTGACCTGCTTGGAGAAGTAGTTACCAAATTATTAAATTGATTTTTTAAAAAGGCTAGAATTACACTCATGATAGCAAAAAGAATAGTGTGTGCTTAGATTTTTCTTCTTCTTTTATTTCCATAAAAGCAGAAAAGTAACTTTTAAAATTATATGCACATGTTTAGTCTACTCTGGATATTAAAACTGAGCTTGTCTCAAATAGGCATAGATTTATAGATACATCAAATGACTGAGATTTAAGGAATCCTTCACTTTAATATATACCTCTTCCCAAATTAACAGGAAATACCGCATGTTGCTCTAACATAGTAGTTAAAATTTCAAAATAAAAACTTCAAATAAGCTACGAAGTCCTTTCTAATAATCTTACACAAGATGATAATAAACACATTAAAATAGTACTAAGGCTTAAGTCTCTTCCTGTATGTAGATTTTGTTTTGAAAATGGATGTGGTGAGATCCTGAGATCAACTTCTGGCATGACAGCATAAGGAGCTCCACTGGCCCACACTCTCCAATGAAATGGGGAAAAACTCCACCATTCAACACCTCTGGAAAAGCCCTAAAGGTGAGCAACAAATTAAGTAATATCCAGTCAATAAAATCCACAAAGCTCAGTAAAAAAGTTGAGAGTCTGAGTATATGAACCAAGGCCAGCTTGGGGAGGCTGAGCTGCTATTCCAGACTGCTGTAGCCAAGAACAGTGGGCTCCCTCTCCTCCAGCTCCCAGCTGGAGGGCTTTCAGCATTTGCACCCCTGCCCTCAGCTACCTGTTGCTGAGAACAGGTCCTGGGCAAGTGCAGTGGAGTGCTAGGGGTTCCCTTCTTCCTGAGGCCCAGTGGAATAGAGGCTCTACCTTGGATGGGGATCAGAATCCTGAGGCCCTCAAAGCCCATGCCTGAGTTGGTGAGGCTGGGAGAGATAAGCCAAGGGAACCTCAAGCTGGTGAACCTCCCACTCCCACCAAAATGTTCTCATCCCAAGGGTGACTGTGGGCATGCAGACCCAAAGTTGTGCCTCCTGAAGGGGGAAATAAGAATCCACTAAAGTATTCCCTCAGTCACTAAACAAACAAATAACAATTACAAGGTCCCAAGAAGGGTTATCAATACCCAAATTTGCTGCAATACATTATCTAACTAAAATGTCCAGTTTCTAACAAAAAATTACAAGGCATGGAAAGGAACAGGAAAGTATGATCCATACACTGAAAAAAAAAAAATAAGTAACAGAAACTGTGTGTGAGAGCAATAAAATGTTGGACTTAACAACAACAAAAAAAACCACTTCAAAGTAGCCATTATAAATTGTTCACAGAAGTAAAGGAAAGCATGATTAAAGAAGTAAAGGTATGAGGATAATATCATATCAAATAAAGAATACTAATAAAGAGAAGGATATTTAAAAAGAGAACCAAATGGAAATCCTGAAGTTGAAAAGTATAATAGCTGAAATAAAAAATTCACTACCTGAATTCAACAACAGATCGGGACTGGCAGAAAAAACATTAGTGAACTTGAGGTATATCAATATAACTTATACAAGGTGAAAAACAGAGAAAAGAGAATAGGAAGAAAATAAACACGATCTCAGAATAATGCGAGACACCATTTAAGCACACCAACATATGTGTAATGGGAATACCAGAAGAAGAGAGAAGACAAAATATTTGAAGAAATAGATACTATGGATAGACCTGTAACAAGTGGAGAGATTAAATTGGTAATAAAAAAGACTATACCCACAAAGAAAAGCCCAGGCCCGGATGGCTTGGCTTCACTCCTGAATTCTATTAAACATTTAACATTTAAGAGAGAATTATTACCAATTCTTCCCAAACCATAGAAGAATAGGAAACACTTCCCAACTTGTTCTATGGGGCCATTATTACCCTGATCGCAAAAATAATAAAAAGCCATAGAAGAAACAACTACAGACCATTACCTCATATATGAATATAAAAATCCTTAACAAAATACTAGCAAAATCCAACATATAAAGAATTATTACACTATGACCAAGTGAGACATGCCAGATATTAAAGGTTAGTGTACAAGGGTAGGGAACCTTTTTTCTGCCAAGGGCCATTCATGGGCCATACAAAATTATCAACTTAAACATTAGCCTGCATATTTGGTCACCCCTAATGCCTCGGTAGGGCCAGACCAAATGATTTCGTGGGCCTTATATAACCTGTGGGCCAGATGTTCCCCACCCCTGCTTAAAACCTGAAAATCAATAGACTACATCATAGCAATGGAATGAACATGTTTTATATCTGAACAGAAAGTTTGTCCAGTTTAAAAAAAGTAAGTTAATACAGCTGTCTATCTATTATCTATTCCTAGAATGAACAATAACATGCCTTAAATAACAAATTATTACTTGAATTATGAACTCCCAATCATGTTTGCTGTAAAATGTATTATTTACAAAAATAGTAATTAAAACAAAAACCTACCCAACGTGAAGGATCACTGATCAAATTAATAAATAGTGCTGATAATTTAGTCCGTCGGATTTCTTGACATGTTGCACATGAAACTGCCATGAAGCATTCAGCACAAGCTTTCCGGACTCCCCATACGTTATCAGAACAAAGTTGAAAAAACCTAGGCAGCTATGCAAGGACAGTGTTTCGTTAGGCAGACAAACAGAGTGCAATACAGGCACACCTCATTTTATTGTGCTTCGCTCTGGCAACCCTGCATGAAGCAAGTCTATTGCCACCATTTTTTCATCAGACTCAGACGATGGCTAGCATTTTTTAGGAATAAAGTATTTTTTTTTTAATTTATTTAAATTAATCCCCACCCAAGGATATTTTTCCCATTGATTTTTAGAGAGTGGAAGGAAAGGAGGGAGGTTGGGAGGGAGAGAGAGAAATAGAAACATTCATGTGAAAGAGACACATCAACAGTTGTCTCCCACATGCACCCCGACTGGTGCCAGGGATCAAACTTGCAACCCTCTGACAGGGAATTGAACAAACGACCCTCTGGTGTGCGGTCTGATGCTCCAACCACTGAACAACACAACACTGGCCAGGGCACAATAAAGTATTTTTAAATTAAGGTATGTACATTTTTTTTTAGATATAATGCTATTGCACATTTAATGGACCACAGTATAATATAAACATAATTTTTATATGTACTGGGAAACCAAAAAATTCACGTGACTCTCTTTACTGTGACATTTACTTTATTGTGGTGGTATGGAGCCAAACTCGCAGTATCTCTGAAGTATTTGTGTAGTTTTATTTCATTTTCTACTTTTACAGTGTTTTAAAGTATTCGATTTTAACAAAATTTAGAAGACCTGTTTAGCATTAATACTCAGTAATTTTAAATGAAATACATCTAATTCATAAACTATTGGCTATGAAAAAACAAAATACTTGCAACAAATATAGCTTAAATGTTGTTTTTCAAGAGCTTATACCTAAACTTATTTTGCATAACAAATGTTTTCAGAAACTCTCAAAGTATGTTAACTTGTACATTAAGTATATATATTTTATGAATTAACTATTTAAAAAGAACCAGCTGTTGATTTGTCACTGAAAGACTTGAGGATTACTAATAAAGATTAATTTGAATAAATAAGAATTGATTTAATAAAAATGAGAGAGGTAAAAATTGATTGATGGTCCTTACACATACTTGCTTTTTTTTTGGTTAATCGTTACCCAAGGATATTTTTTTCCATTGATTTTTTTAGAGAGTAGAAGAGAGGAAGGGATGAAGAGGGGACAAAAGAGAGAGAAAGAGAGAGAAAGAGACAGAGAGAGAGAGAGAGAGAGAGAGAGAGAGAGAGAGAGAGAGAGAAACATGATGTGAGAGATACATGGATTGGTTGTCTCCTGAATGTGCCCTGACCAGAGCTGGGGACTGAACCTGCAACCCAGGTACACGCCCATGACCAGGAATCGAACCCAAGATCCTTTGGTATGTGGGCCGATGCTCTAACCACTGAACCACCAGCCAGGGTCATATTTGCATTTTTAACAAACTGTCTTTATAAAAGCACAGTTCAGATTACAGAAATTTAAACTCCTAAACTCAAAGTCCTACTCCCTTCTGGTTTATATTTGTGAAATTGTATTAATAAAATCTGGGAGTAAATGTATACACTTTAAACTTTATGTGCTATTTTGTAATGCACTACTTACTCCTTTATTACTCCTTTGTTTCTGTAATACTTACCAGCATTTCTTCAGTAGCTTGCTGGCCAACTACACTGCAGATATCTCCAAAGTTGGCAGCACAGACCTGACAACAAAAGCATTATTGACATTTCAAAGTATATAAGGTTATAAAAATAACCCTTTATTTTTATTTTTTTAATTTGCATTTTCTTAATTGATTTTTTTTGTTTTTAGAGAGAGAGGGCGGAAGAGAAAGAGAGTCAGAAACACTGATGAGAGAGAAACATTAACCAGCTGCCTCCTGCATGCTTCCTACTGGGGATCTAGCCCGCAACCCCGGCATGTGTCCTGATGGGGAATCTAACCAGTGACCACTTTGTGCATGGGACGATGCTCAACCAACTGAGCCACACTGCCTGGGCTAAAAATAATCTTCTAAATTTCACATGTAAACACTAGAACCCAGTGTTCTTAAGCAAACAAACAAAAAAACAAACAAACAAGACTAAAAAAATACCTTTCGAACATGAAACATTCTGCAATCACAGCACATCTCACAAAACCTAGGCAGGATAAGACGCTCTGTAATGTCCTTCCCAACCATGGGAGCCATTTTGCACATTATCTAAAATAAATAAGAACAAAAATACACTGAAAATATCTTTAAACAAGGCTTTCCCAGTTAGTTTGCTAACTTATTAGAAGCATATAATTTAAGAATATATAATATATGATATGGCATCATTATACCATTACAAAAAATTCATCTTATCTGAGTTGAAGACAGAAAAATAGATAGTAATCACCAATAAAATCAGTTAGTAGTTACTAAATGCACAGTAAACCCAGAGAAAATCATTAAAACTTCATTTTCGTCTACAGTTTCAATCTTATTAATCATTTTTCCTGATAACTTTAAAAGCAGTAAAACCCTACATTTTCTCAGTAAGAAAATAAATGTTGACTATTTAATTTAGTGGGAAAGAGTATCTATAAGAAGGATCTGGGTTTAATGTATCTATATTACTAAGAAAGACTGGACAGAGGCAGTCCTTACTTTACAAAGTACTATTTTAAATGGAACTTGTGCATACTGGAACGACATCCTTACTCTGCAAAGCCTAGGTTCCAGGGAAGGCAAGGACACAGTTCCAACACGCACATGTGTCAACTAATGCAGTGGTAGGCAAAGTGAGGATGAACTGTTTGAAAACCAGCCCAACATTCTTTAAATAAATTTGCCCCACAGTTGATATAGAAAGATTTCTGATGATTTCTCATCGTTTATCTATTCATCTATTCTATCTACTCCCAGCCATGCAAATAAGACAAATAAAAGGCATACAGATTGGAAAGAAAGCTCTACTCATATGTGACACAGTTGTCTGCATAGAAAATTCCACAGAATCTACAAAGAAGTCACTAGAACAAATAAACGAATTTAGAAAGTTTGCAGGATACAAACATGTCAGAATACAAAGATCATATGCATTTCTGTAAGTTAGCAATGAACAAGTGGAAACATCCTTAGAATTGGGGATAACACCTAAACCCCACAGCCAGTTTTGTTATTTGACTCTATGCTGTTTCTAAGAATTTCCAAGCCCTAAGTTAAAGATCCAAAGTTATACTGTACCACTGATCTACAAATATTTATTAGAATAAATTATTCCCCAGGTAAAGAACAGCTGGGAAGTCAGGGAATGAAAAACATGACAAAATAAATGTAAACCAATTGTAAGAGCATCACAAGTTTCATCCAGTGCTGTGTATAGTCTTTTTACTGTCATCACAATATTTTACTATTATTATATCCTATCACAAATTATAGCAGAGCAAGTTAAACTCTGCTCATACAAACCAACAATGATGCTGAAATTGATTTCCCTTCATGAGGAACTTGTGAAAAAAAACAACCTATGTTTTAGAACCTGACAGAGGCGGTGGATGTACCACATTATGAAAATACTAAATGTTATTTAACTGTACACCTTAAATGGCTAATTGTATACTATGTGAATTTCACTTCAATAAAAATGGGATTACTGGGAAAAAAGTATCTAAACCTTAACCTATACCAGAGTATCTAACCTTATTAACTGGTACTTGAGTATCCTATCTAATAAAAGAGAAACATGGTAATTAGCCATACGGCCGCTACCCTTCCCATTGGCTAATCAGTGAGATATGCAAATTAACTACCAACCAAGATGGCGGCAGGCAGCCAGGCAGCTGACGCGAACAGGGAGGCTTGCTTGCTTCAGTGACGGAGGAAGCCAAGCTTCCCCACCTGCCTTGCCGGCCTCTCAGCTGCACTCTAAGCAACACTGTAACAAATATAGAAGCTAAACAAAACCCCGGGCTTTGGCCAGCAGGACTGCAACATTGTTTCAAATACAGAAGGTAAACAAAGGCCAGAAACCTGCTTTCAGCAGCAGAGGTCTCATAGCTGGAGCCGAGCCTCAAAGCTAAAGCTGGCCCAGAATAAAAAAAGAAAAAAAGGAGCGGTTGGGAGCTTCAGTCACCCGCCAGCCTGAAAACGGCCCTCAGCCCCTCACCCAGGCTGGCCAGGCACCCAAGCGGGATCCCCACCCTGAAGGGTGTGTGACCAGCTGCAAACAGCCATCATCCCCTCACCCAGGCTGGCCAGGCACCCCAGTGGGGACCCCCACCCTGATCCAGGACACCCTTCAGGGCAAACCAGCCGGCCCCCACCCGTGCACCAGGCTTCTATCCTATATAGTAAAAGGGTAATATGCCTCCCAGCACCGGGATCAGCGGAGCAGCGAGGCCTCCTAGCACCGGGATCAGTGTGACAGGGGGCAGCGACCAAACCCCCTGATCGCCCTGCGGCTCTGTGTGTGACAGGGGGCAGGGCCACAGCCTCCCTATCTGCCCTGCTCTGTTCGTGACAGGGGGGAGCTCCTCAACCCCCTGATCGGCCCTGCTCTGTGCGTGACATGGGGGAGCTCCCCAACCCCCTGATCGCCCTGCGGCTCTGTGTGTGAAAGGGTGCGGCGCCCCAACCCCCCCTATCAGCCCTGCCCTGAGTGTGACAGTGGCGGCGCCCCAACCCCCTGATCCGCCCTGCTCTGTGTGTGACAGCGGGCGGTGCCCCAACTCCCCTATCGGCCCTGCTCTGTGACAGGGGGGAGCTCCTCAACCCCAACTGGCCCTATTCTGTGCGTGACAGGGTACGGAGCCCCAACCCCCCTGATGGGCCCTGCTCTGTGCAATGACGGGGGCAGCGCCCCAACCCCCTGATGGGCCCTGCTCTGTGCGTGACAGGGTACGGAGCCCCAACCCCCCCCGATGGGCCCTGCTCTGGGCATGACAGGGGGGAGCTCCTCAACCCCCTGATCGGCCCTGCTCTGTGTGTGACAGGGTACGGAGCCCCAAGCCCCTGATGGGCCCTGCTCTGTGTGTGACAGGGGGCAGCGCCCCAACCCCCTGATCAGCCCTGCTCCGTGCATGACAGCGGGGAGCTCCTCAACCCCCTGATGGGCCCTGCTGTGTGTGTGACAGGGTACGGAGCCCCAATCCCCCTGATAGGCCCTGCTCTGTGAGTGACAGGGGGCAGCGCCCCAACCCCCTGATCAGCCCTGCTCTGTGCGTGACAGGGGGTGGCGCCGCAACCTCCCTATCGACCCTGCCTTGAGTGTGACGGGGCGGTTCCCCAACCCCCCAATTGGCCCTACCCTGAGCGTGACTAGGGGTGGCATTGCAACCTCCCAATCCGCCCTGCTCTGTGCATGACAGGGGGCGGCGCCCTAACTCCCCAATCGGCCCTGCTCTGAGCCCGACCAGGGGCTGCACCTAGGGATTGGGCCTGCTGTCTGCCACCCAGGAGCAGGCCTAAGCCAGCAGGTCATTATCTCCCGAGGGGTCCCAGACTGCGAGAGGGCACAGGCCGGGCTGAGGGACGCCTCCTCCCCCCAAGTGCACAAATTTTTGTGCACCGGGCCTCTAGTATAAAAATAACAAAATCAAGAAATTTCTAAGGGAAATGGACTAGAAAGATGATCAAATTCATCCTACTAATGTTTCAGAAGTACCATAAAATTTTGGTTTGATTTTTTTTATATCAACAAAGATGTTTATTATTTTATTTTAGGTTTAAATAGTAAACTCTATTCCAAACAGATTTGAATAAATTTTCAGGTGAATTTATCAGTTTCCTAATTTATGATCAGAATTCTTACTATCTGAACTCAGGAACCATAGATGTGAAGTGCAACAGATATTACTATATATTCTAATTCATACCCTATTTTTTATGGTTCTCTATAAGAATATTTGTTAACCATATTAAAAAAACCCAGAAAATTTACTATTATGCTTGACTTTATTATGTGCATGTTTAGTATCTGTATATCATTAATAACCATAATTTACATCAAGTATAATTACTTGCTTGACTACCCTTCCCCCAAAGACCATAGTATCAAGGGCAGGATCCAAGTATTACTATTTTTTTCCTACTGTGCTTACACAATGCCTAGAAAAGTGTTCAACAGCAATTAAAGGGGTTCAAATGTTTCTTTATTCAATACAGTTGTTTTTAACTGCACTGTTTTTTTTCTCCCATCTTATTTTTCCATTTTGACATAATAGTATCTTACAGTTACTTATTTTCCTGCTATATATCTTGCTTGAGCCCAGTGACAGAACCATCTAATTTCCAGTTGCTTGGCACAATATGGGGCCCACCAAAAATACACTTCTTTTCTTGTAAACCTGTATCTCCTTGTAGCCAGTCATTCTATTTCAAATTTTAATTATTTGTGGCTACTTTGATACCTAATATATGTATAAACCCTATAGCACATAATGTAGCATAGTATTTATTGAGCACCTTCTAATTAGTCAATATAGGACTAATTTTTACCTAAATTTAAAAAATTACATTCTACTTACAGCCACAGCTTCTGTCTTCACATCGTCATTGCTATCTGGGGCAGTTAGCTCTATGAGGACAGGGCACACTTTGGTCTCCACATCAAATCGCTCAATTAACTCTTGCTCCAACAGAGCCAGCAAAGCTGCCTGACTTGTTTTTCTTACCTAGGAAAAAATTATCAGTATATGGTAAACAAAGTACAGACATGACATAGCAAAGTACATACATAATATAACTCTATTACTTGACTTTACAAAACTGAAGACTTCTCATCTCAACTAGTAAAACCATGCAAATAAAAACGATGGCTATTTTCTTCAAGTACTGCAAAGATAGAACCTGGTAGATTGTGTTATAACAGAAGTGGAACAAAGAAGCCATCTTGTAAAATGTCTCACAAAGAAACTCTCTGAGGGACACCTATGTGGGAGCCAAGTGACCAAGTGAGGATGCAGCTAGGAGGCATTGTCTATAATAGCATTAAGGAGACCTAGATTTGCCAAATTCTCAACACAGCTTGTCTAAGACAAATGGTCTTTTGTAAAACAGAATAACAGTGACAAACAGGAAAAAATATTGAAATGAACAGATCGTTCTACATATATCATACTAGATAAATTTCCATTAAGAACATGTAAATGGCACTCTTACCTGATTATTCTGATCTGCGAGATATCTAACCACAATAGGTAGTAAGTATTTGGAAAAAGCATATGGGATTGAAGGCCGGTTTTCTTGACAAAACAATGCAATATGAGGCACCTGTTCCATCAGCTCTGCTCTCACAGTTGGTTCTATTGAAATGATAAAAATGTGAGCAAACATTCCCCACAATAATAAAATCTTTCCCTGGGCTTGAGAGTATTTAGGAAAGGTTTACTTTCATTCTCATTATAAAAGGTCTTACAAGATGTTCTCTAACTCTGCAATCCTTTACACAATCATATACTGGTACAGGTCAACCCTATGAGTTAAAGGAGGACCTTACCTCCAACCCAAGCTTGTATCTTCATAGTATGCACTTAGAATGCAATCATTTCCTATAGTGACTGAATGAGTTTATTCATTACCTACATTGTGCCATACTGTGCTAAAGATTAAGTATCCAAGTCACATCAACTATAATATGGATTATCTATAAGCTCTATTTAAAAACCTCCTCGGGCCCTAGCCAGTGTGGCTCAATGGATAGAGCATTAGCCCTCGGACTGAAGGGTGCTAGGTTCGATTCCAATCAAGGGCACATACCTCAGTTTCAGGCTGGATCCTCGGGACCAATCAATGTGTCTCTCTCACATCGATGTTTCTCTCCTCCCCCCCCCCCATTCCACTCTCTCTAAATATCAATGGAAAAATATCCTCAAGTGAGGTTTAACAAAAAAAAATAATACAAAAAATAAAAAAATAAAAACCTCCTCGGACAAGTCATAAGAACTGGCTTCTAATTTAAGTTTAGTCAATGAATGGAGGATTTCTAGTTAGACTTAACTAAGACTAAAAAGGTATGTGATATTAAAGGAGACTATTAAAAGATTTTTTTACAAAACCAAAAAGTCCTGAAAAGACCCAAGTATATATGGCATATTTAAATATGACAAATATGGCATTTCAAATCTCTGGGTTTCAAAAGAATGAACTATCCAATAAATAATGGTAAGAAAATAAGCTAGTTATATCAGAAAAAAAGATTCCTATACTGCACACCTCACATTAATTCTAGGTAAATTTAAGACCCAAAAGTTGCGTTTATTTTTAGATCAAAAGCAATGAAAGACAATATTTTTAGTGGGAAGCCCTTTCAAGGTGAACAAATCCAAAATCAACTAAATACCAGGACATTTCACTTTATAAAGGCTTTATTATAGACAACAGATGCTACATACTAAATCAAAAGGCAAAACCGCCTAGAACAAAATAATGTACAATAAAATATTAATAACTAAATATACCTCGAACCCATTGTTCAAATGAATACAAGAAAGAAAATGAATAGACAATTCATAGAAGAGATGCAAGTGACTGACAAACACACAGACATGATGGATTATCAATGTAAGTCATTACATCAGACCTAATTAGAACTTTGGCACCTATTACTAACATTATTAAAGTTACCTAAAGGTAATTATGCATGAATACGTCCAGAAGAGTTTTGGATTTCAACATTCAGAAATTAATAACACATTTACTATATAAAATCATAAAAATATAAATGCTAAATTTAGGGGAACAAAAAATCAAGATAAAAGTTGATAAAATAAGGCAGAACAAAGGTTTAAAGATTCTAAGCTCCTTATTTGCTTAGGAAGATGGATTATATGCATTAACTTTAAAGTTGCATATTGGGTCTATTATAAGATGTTTGGATTTTAATAACAGGTTTTTACTTTCTTGCTACTAATAGGTTAGACAATTTACCTAGGAAAATTTTTAAAGAAATTTCTTATTACACTAAGTTTTTCATTAGTTTTAAAACCACAAATTTGGTAAATGAAAACTTTCTCTGCATAAACATGTACCTGAATCGTCAGCTAATCTGCTAATTCTTTCCAAAACAGCAATACAATCTCTTTCATCATCGCAGACTTCCCTCAATGTATCCAGCAAACTCCGGGCCACCATTTGTCTACACACACACACAAAAAATTACATAGTGTTCAGTGGCATCAATAGTTAACATTCAGAATTTCAAAAGGCAGAATCTACATAGTTTCAAAGAAATTTTTTCATTATACATTTAATAGCATATATTAAGTCCCTAATTCCTTTAGTGATATATGCCATCATGGATTTTATTTTAATAAGATGAAATTGAATATTCACTAAAATATTTTTCATCTTTACCTAACTGATTTAACAAATTTCTAAAGTCACTGAAAATTCATATCAGTAATTTTCAAGTACAACAATGGGAAAATTTATTCATTCATTATATAAAACATCTTTACATATTTTTACTAAATGACTTTTATACATCTATACTCAAAAAAAATTTAAGCAAAGACTTTCAGATTTCCCAGAAAAGTCTGATACAGGTGGTCTTATGACCATAAGAGAAACAATGCATTAGAAAGAGTGTTATCTTCGTCACTTGCATGTTACAATTCCCTTGAACATCATCTGGCATAAGGTAGGTATACAACATCATCTGCTGAAAGAATAAGGTACTCCTTAGGAATTTCTTTATAATATCAAAATTATGTCTAATAGCAAAAAGCAACGGTTTCTCTTTCTTTTTTTTTTGCCAAAAAGCAAAGAAAGAGTGCTGTATGCTTTCTAGGATCAAGGAACAAACAACTATAAAAGAGGCCGTGGCTATGATTATTAAGAGAACTTGGAGACTCAGACTGCTCATGTTAATAATACCTACTTTAAACTGGGTAATTTTATTTTCCCTCCTGAAATTAATGTAATAAAAACCATCCTTCCATTTCTACTTTAGTGAAAAAAATATGCACATACCTGTTAAATACGTTCTCACTTGCAGCATACTTGTCCAATCTCCCCAGTGGCGTCAACATTTCATCTTGTGAGACAAAGTCCAGGGCTGAAGGTATAATAATCACATCAGACTCTGAGCTGTAGTCATCCACACCAACTATCAGAGACATCAGAAATACTCCTTATAATACTCTGAAACTAAAAAGCACCCCTTGCCTGTCTGAAGCAGCTTAAGTAAAACTGCCCTCTATGAGTCTGGAATGGTACAAAGAATCACAAGAGAACCTTAGAATCAATTCAGAAGCCATGAACAACAGAAGGATGCTTTCTCTTTTTTTTTTTTTACAGGTATGTTCTAAATTGCCTCTAGAAACATAGGAGTCAAGAGGCTGTAGAAACTCAGTATGGTGTGATCACAAAACAGTGATCAGAAAAGAGTAATCACAGAGACCTGAGAACTTACACATTCAATTAAAACACAACTTGTCCTATACAATAAAAAGGTAATATGCAAATCGACCGAATGGCGGAACAACCTGTCGCTATCACACGCACTGACCACCAGGGGGCAGACACTCAATGTAGGAGCTGCCCCCTGGTGTTCAGTGCGCTCCACAGGGGGAGCGCTGCTCAGCCAGAAGCTAGGCTCACGGCTGGTGAGCACAGCAGTGGTGGCAGGAGCCTCTCCCGTCTCTGCGGCAGCGCTAAGCCGTCAGTTGGACATCCCCCGAGGGCTCCAAGACTGCTAAAGGGCGCAGGTGGCTGAGGGGAACCCCCCCCAAGTGCACAAATGTCATGCACCAGGCCTCTAGTAAATAAATAAAATGTCAAACACTGATAGTTAATTCTGGAATTCAGTCAGAGAAAAACATTATACACAGAAGAGAAAGACAAGAATTACAGCAAATTTCTCATCAGAAACAATACAAGCCAGAAGACTGAAAGAAAAATCAATGTCAACCTCCAACTCTATATACCCTGTCAATAGAAATCTTTCTAATATCTTTGAAATTCATATTGTTCAATGCAAAGGTGAAATAAAGGTTTTTTTCAGGCATACAAAAACTGACAGATATTATCACCAGCAGACCTGCATTATAAGATTAAAGAAAGTACTTCAAGAAAAAAATTATACCAGATGGAAATCTGGATTTACAACAAAGAAATGAAGAGCAACAGAAATGGTAAGTATATGGGTAAATACAAAGGCCTTCTTATTTTAAAAAATCTCTTTAAAGGATAATTAACTGTTTAAAGCAAAAAATCCTATCTAATAAAAGAGAAACATGGTAATTAGCATACGACCGCTACCCTTCCCATTGGCTAATCAGGGCGATATGCAAATTAACTGCCAGCCAAGATGGCAGCCGGCAGCCAGGAAGCTTAAAGCGAACATGAGGCTTGCTTGCTTCAGTGACGGAGGACTCCAACATTCCCCGCCTGCCGCTGCAGGCCTCTGAGCTGCAACTCTAAGCAACTATGTTACAAATATAGAAGCTAAACAAAACCCCAGAAACCTGCTTTAGTCCGTTGGGCTTCAGCCAGCAGGATCGCAACATTGTTTCAAATACAGAAGGTAAACAAAGGCCAGAAACCTGCTTTCAACAGCGGAGGCCTAAGAGCTGGAGCCAAGCCTCAAAGCTAAAGCTGGCCCAGAATAAAAAAAGAAAAAAAGGAGCGGTTGGGAGCTTCAGTCACCCACCAGCCTGGAAACAGCCCTCAGCCCCTCACCCAGACTGGCCAGGCACCCCAGTGGGACCCCAACCCTGATCCAGGACACCCTTCAGGGCAAAACAGCCGGTCCTCACCCATGCACCAGGCTTCTATCCTATATAGTAAAAGGGTAATATGCCTCCCAGCACCAGGATCAGCGGAGCCACGAGGCCTCCCGGCACCGGGATCAGTGTGACAGGGGGCAGCGACCAAACCCCCTGATCGCCCTGCGGCTCTGTGTGTGACAGGGGGTGGGACCACAACCTCCCTATCCTCCCTGCTCTGTTCGTGACAAGGGAATGCGCCCCAACCCCCTGATCAGCCCTGCTCTGTGCCTGATAGGGGGAGCTCCCCAACCCCATAATCGCCCTGCGGCTCTGTGTGTGACAGGGTGCGGCGCCCCAACCCCGATCGGCCCTGCTCTGTGTGTGACAGGGGGCAGTGCCCCAACCCCCTGATCGGCCCTGCTCTGTGTGTGACGGGGTAGAGCCATAACCTCCCCATCAGCCCTGCCCTGAGTGTGAGAGTGGCGGTGCCCCAACCCCCATCCCACGGGCCCTGCTGTGTGTGTGATGGGATACAGCCATAACCTCCCCATCGGCCCTGCCCTGAGTGTGACAGTGGCGGCGCCCCAACCCCCTGTTCGGCCCTGCTCTGTGGGTGATAGAGGGCGGTGCCCCAACCGCCTGATCCGCCCTGCTGTGTGTGTGACAGGGGGCGATGCCCCAACTCCCCTATCAGCCCTACTCTGTGAATGACGGGGGAGCTCCTCAACCCCCTGATGGGCCCTGCTCTGTGCGTGACAGGGGGCAGCGCCCCAACCCCCGATTGGCCCTGCTCTGTGACAGGGGGCAGCGCCCCAAACCCCTGAGTGGCCCTGCTCTGTGTGTGACAGGGGATGGCGCCACTACCTCCCCATCAACCCTGCCTTGAGTGTGACAGAGGGCAGTTCCCCAACCCGCCAATTGGCCCTACCCTGAGCGTGACTAGGGGTGGCATTGCAACCTCCCAATCCGCCCTGCTCTGTGCATGACAGGGGGCGGTGCCCCAACTCCCCAATCGGCCCTGCTCTGAGCCCGACCAGGGGCTGCACCTAGGGATTGGCTTGCCCTCTGCCACCCGGGAGCAGGCCTAAGCCATCAGGTCGTTATCTCCCAAGGGGTCCCAGACTGCGAGAGGGCACAGGCCGGACTGAGGGACCCCTCTGCCCCCCCCCCCCCCAGTGCACAAATTTTTATGCACTGGGCCTCTAGTATGTACTATAAAATAAAAAGATTAAAATGTACTGTGAGGGCCCAGCCCTCAGGGGTTGCGCATCAACCTGTGAACCAAGAGGTCACTGGTTCCATTCCATCAGGACACATGCTTGGGTTTCAGGCTCGATCCCCTGTAGGGGGTGTGCAGGAGGCAACTGATCAATGAGTCTCTCTCATCATTGATGTTTCTCTCTCTCTCTCTCTCTCTCTCTCTCTCTCCCCCCCCCCCTTCCTTCCTCCCTGAAACCAATTTTAAAAAAAGATTCAGAAAAATGTATACATTACATTGTGTGTGTATAAATTATTATAGAGAAAAATAGAGAAAACTGGCAAAATGCTAACAATGGCTGAATGTTTTGTGTAGGGCTTAAAGTTTTCAAAGTAACAGTTTAGTTTAAAATCAATTATTTCATTATTTGACTGCAAGTTAGGTTTATGTCCTTATTTAGTGTGGCCAGAAAAATTAAGATTCATCTCACCCAGCAAGTATGCAATAAAGGCCTACTGTGTGCTGGACACTATGATGGCTAAAGAATAAAAATGTTACAGACCTTGAACTTACCACAGTATAGTGCAGGATTGGCAACCTGTGTTCAACAGGTTAAAATAGCCCATGTCTGTTTTTGTAAATAAAGTTTATTGGAAGACAGCTATGCTCATTCATTTATGTATTGTCTATGACTGCTTTTGATACCTTGGTAATAACTTGGCTATTACTTAACAGGAAAGGAGTAAAGGGAAGCCTAAGTAATATAGGCATGCCTTTTATACAGCTTTGCTAATTTAACACTTTACAAGTCTTTTCCCCATTGATACATGGGGGAAGGGACTGTACAACAGACCCATGCCCAGTAAGGTCTTAGTGACATGGAAAGGTGCTTGTCTGTCAGTCACACCTGGAAGCAAGTCAGTGGCCAGAATAGGCGTGGCCACTGAAAGGGCATGAAATCTGAATAAACTCCTGAACAAAGAAAGTTTGCTCCCTAGGCCAGTGATGGCGAACCTTTTGAGCTCGGCGTGTCAGCATTTTGAAAAACCCTAACGTAACTCTGGTGCCGTGTCATATATAGAAATTTTTTGATATTTGCAACCATAGTAAAACAAAGATTTATATTTTTGATATTTATTTTATATATTTAAATGTCATTTAACAAAGAAAAATCAACCAAAAAAATGAGTTCGCGTGCTATCATTGCCTAGGCTCTTGGCTCTCTCTCTTGCTGTTTGCACCTGACTCCTATTGCAGTGGGGCACACACTTTGTGTGGGCCATGTGGACTCCACACAATACACGAATGGAATTTAATTAGCCTGATGCCAAACTGGGCCCAGCTGCAACATGGAACAGAAGCTTTGGATACTGGCCTTGCTTTTGGCTCTACTGGAACTCAGTTGTGCCTTTTTCAGGACTGGCTTAAGGGGCATGGGACTTTACAACCTGAGGACTGTAACACCACGCCAATAAAAACCATTCATTCTCCCATGTGAATATTAGAAAATTCACTTTCTAAAGATATTGTAAGAACCCTGCTCCCACAAGCGATGGAGAAATTTGTTTCTCCAGTAACACTTTCACCTTACATTGGCAGATCTAAGTAGGTACAACAAACAGCACATGACCCACAAAACCTAAAATATTTACTATCGGGCCCTTTCAGAAATTTTCCAACACTGGTCTAATGATGTAGCAGAAATGCAATTAAGTCACTGCTTAGGGACAAAAATTAACAACAAAAAAGAAAAACAAATCTGAAGGACCTTATAGCCTTAAGCAAACAGGTATGTCAAGTTTCAATTTGTACTTCGTGGAAATATGTTTATCAGAAACCTTCCCTACAAATATAAATATTAAGTGTTTAAAAAATCCTGAGAAATGATCTAATGGTACTGTTGTAATTTAACCTAGTTATGCATAACTGCAAAGGAGTAAAGGGAAGGCCAAATATTTTGGGGATGCCATTAGTACAATTTTGTCAAGAAGCTGCAGTTTAGATACATGCCCAGGAAAGCCTGGGTGAAATAGGGACGGTACTTGTCTGTCAGTCATACCTGGGAATAGGTGATTGGCCAGAGTAGGCATGGCCACTGCAATTATGGGAAGATTTAAGATATTTTATCTCCTAAACAAAGTTCTCGCTCTTGGCTCTTTTGCCTCTTGCTCTCCTGGTTGCAGGACTCTCGTGCTCATA